GAAACCTTTTAGTTTGAGTCCATCCCATTTAATTCTTGATTTTAATTCTTGCGCCAAAGGAGTCTTATTAAGGAAGTTGGAGCCTAATCCCACATGATGGAGATTAGGGCCTACTTTTTCCTTCTATTAGACGCAGGGTCTCTGGTTTTATTCCTAAGTCCTTGATCGATTTTGAGTTGAGTTTTATGCGTGGTGAGAGATAGGGGTTTAATTTCATTTTGTTGCTTATGGATTTCCAGTTTTCCCAGCACCATTTGTTGAAGAGGCTATCTTTTCTCCAATGCATATTTTTGGCACCTTTGTCTAGTATAAGATAATTGTAATTTTGTGGGTTAGTCTCTGTGTCTCTATTCTGTAACATTGGTCTACCAGTCTGTTTTGGTGCCAATACCATGCTGTTTTTGTTACTATTGCTCTGTAGTGTAGTTTAAGGTCTGGTATAGTGATGCCTCCTGCTTCACTCACCATTTGACCCAGCTATCCCTCTCCTCGGTCTATACCCAGAGGACTTAAAAACAGCATACTACAGGGACACAGCCACATCGATGTTTATAGGAGCACAATTCACAATAGCTAAACTGTGGAACTAACCTAGATGCCCTTCAATAGATGAATGGATAAAAAAAGAAAATGTGGCATATATACACAATGAAATATTACTCAGCAATAAAAGAGAATAAAATCATGGCATTTGCAGGTAAATGGATGGGGTTAGAGAAGATAATGCTCAGTGAAGTTAGCCAATCCCAAAAAAACAAATACCGAATGTTTTCTTTGATATAAGGAGGCTGATTCATATTAGGATAGGGAGAGGGAGTATGGGAGGAATAGACGAACTCTAGATAGGGCAGAGGGGTTGGAGGGGAAGGAAGGGGGCATGGGGTTATAAATGATGGTGAAATGTGATGATCGTTATTAACCAAAGTACATGTATGAAGACACGAATTGGTGTGAATATACATTGTATACAACCAGAGATATGAAAAATTATGCTCTATATATGTAATAAGAATTGTAATGCATTCTTCTGTCATGTAAATAAAAAAATTTTCACTATTAAATTATTCTTCCACATAAAAATAATTTACAGATGTGCTTGCTGTTTGCAATATCTGTGTTTTAAGAAATTGTGTTGTTTTGATTTCTCTTATTTTTGTAAAAATTTCCACATACATTTGATAACTAAAATATTTTATATGTATATCTTTCTTTCTTGAAATCCTAGTAAAATTACAAGTTTATAACAAAGTCTGTAAAACATTTTAAAAGTATATAGAAAATTAGACAAGAGAAACCTCAAACAAGAGTTGTAAACAAAAATTTTGAATAAACAGGTAGATGTAATAACTGATTTAGCAGACTAGAAAATCATAAAACATAATTGCTCCTTGAGGGAAGAGACAAAAGACATATGATTCACTTTGTAAAACTGTCAGAAATTGAGGTACCAGATACATTTGAAGTTGAATGTTTCATTATGGGTTTGAAAATTAAATGGGTTTTCTAGAATTCACAAAATGAACAGTAAAAGATGCCCCCACCCCGCCCCCCGCCAAAAAAAAAAAAAAAAAAAAGAATGAAGTAGTTGGTACTTGGTTGGATGGAAGGAGAATTATATTTTTATTGTCATTTTTTGGTCTGACTTTTTCTTCCAAGTTTTAAATAGGGAATCCTATTACTCTGTGACAGAAGCATTTTGCTTATAGTAGGGGACACTGGAATTGAGACAAGAAGTTGTAAGTTCTAAATATCTCTTTCACTAAACAGCTGAGTGCCTCTGAGCACTCAAGAGTCTATTCCCTCATCCTCTGAATGAAGAATTTGAACCACCTGATCTAGCTTCAGAACTCATGATAAGCTTAAATCCTGTGAAAATCCTTAGTATTTCATGGAATAAAGGGTTTTTTATAAAAAGTGGGGATTGGGAGTCCTCTCTCTAAATATCAATTGATCTTAAGTTAAAGGATTGGGTCTTTTCTGTAAATTCTGCTTGAAGGCACAGAATTCACTTACACCACTAGCTAATGCAAAGAGTCTGTGGCTGTGTTTATGTTAATATTAGCAACTTTGGTTAAATGTCTTCACAGTACATAAGGACAGAAGCCTACAGAAGTCTTCACTTTTAGCTGACAAAAAAGCAGGAAAGGTTTATGGAGACAAGGAAGGACAGTGCTCCCTTAGCAAAGGACACTCAAAGGAAGCCAACTGAGCCTAAGGAAAGGAGCCAGTTGAGGGGAGGTTAGGACCCCAAAATCAGTACTACCAATCACATCTATTATGCAAATGTGTTTAAAAATCCTACTCTGCAAAAGTTAACATTTGTTCTTAGAGGTGCTCTGTATCTGAGCAAGTACTTGAGTTTTGGTAGGGGGAGATAAGAGAATTGTAAGACATTTTTTACTGAATTTTTTATTCATTAGGATGTTTTTGACTTCTTTAAAAAAAAAAAAAAATCTTGTTGGAAGAAACTGCTCCTCCCAAGGCTAGTATATTAGAAATAGAAATGGGCCACAAAAGGAACATGTCCTTGATATACAAACTAACCAATCTACAGCCATACTCCTGTATCTGGCCTGAACACCCTGAAGAGGCAGTATTTATTCCCTGCCTTTAATCTTTCCGGGGCCAGGTATCAGGCCATGAAGGACCATCCTATAGCCTGGAGTACACTAAAATTGTTCAAACTAGCCCATCCTAAACTGCCTATCTTACCCTGCCTTGGCATTCCTGCACAAACTCCAAAAAAAGAGGCCTTAACCTAGCGCTAACTCCTGTCTTCTGACAGTCCTGGGGTCCCTCCCATGTGTCCCTGCATAGTGGGCCATTGCCTCCTATCTCTAGGACCTATGAGAATCATAGCTGTTTTTTTTCTGAATCTCTTTCATGTCTCCCTTTATGGCCATACCAGCCTGACCACATCAGAAAAGAATTCAAAACAGAGGGTAAAAGACCACAGAGGGACTCTGCACCATTTTATGTTAAATTCATTAATCTTTAAGTATTTTAACTTTCACATAGTAAAACATCTTTCTTCTTATATCTTGTATCTAGGTACACTGGCCACTACTTCATAACCACTTTACTCTACTCCTTCTTCCTGGGATGTTTCGGAGTAGATCGTTTCTGTTTGGGACACACGGGCACAGCGGTTGGGAAGCTGCTGACACTTGGAGGACTTGGGATTTGGTGGTTTGTTGACCTTATTTTGCTCATCACCGGAGGGCTGATGCCAAGTGATGGCAGCAACTGGTGCACTATTTACTAAAAAGAGCTGCTATTACTGCCCAGGGAGTCAAGTGAATGCTCTGTCTTCTGAATTCATCTCTACAGGCTCAAGAATTCTTCTTTGATATAACACCTGAACATTATTTTCCCTCTTTGGAGGGAATGGGTTTGGTGAAGAAGGATTCTGTGGACTTTCAACCTTAAATCTTACCTTGCAGACTAGAAATGACAAGCAGTATTGTGGGAATCAAATTTGTACCTTTCCTCATGTACAAAATATAAAGGATAGTGTCTAACTTATGAACTACAGATGGTTTTCTCTACTCTTTATTTCTGTACGTTGCTATGTCTTCAGTTCTTTGAAGCAGGTGGACCCAAAGGGATGAGCAAAATGAATATTTTTATCTGTGTGCCTTTTGTGACCCTGAATCTTCTTGCAGAGAAGATCCAAAGCTGAGCCAATGAAAATCTTGAGGAGAAGTAGAAATGGCTATGGATCTTAATACTCAAATGAAATCCGTACGTTCTGAATTTAAAATACAGAATAAATTTTGCCAACATGGACGTGCTATATGAGTATTTTCAGTAGAGAGTGTGAAACTTAAATTTTTATTTTGCTGAAAGCTAAGCATCTGAAATTAATTAATTACCCTGTGAATAAGTCCTATTGTGTACCATTATTATGTTCTGGAAGCAGTATATGCAGTACAATAATTTCTTCATTCTAATTATGTTTTCAAAGCCAACAGTATCAGATATGTATGAGTGGAGCTCTTCTTGGCAGAATTGCCCTATGTAAAAAATTAATTTTTGTCAGTTTAAGGAAACCTTGTTGTAGACTGATAAAAAAGACTTCACATAAGTAACTATAAAATGCTTCACAGTTAGGTAAGATAAAACGAGGAGCCCCACACCCTTGAAAAGAAAAACATAATCCTACTTAAAGGATATTGAACACTGGGGTAGAATTAGGACATGATTTATGGAGACAAGGAAATCTGAACATATTCTCTCAAAATAAACATGATAGTAAAAGCTTTCACAGTAAGCTATAGCAATCAAAAAGAGATACAGTCAAGCTTTTGCATTCATAAGCCACTAGGAATAAAAGAAATGCTCTGACCTACAAATGGTTTTCAAAACTCAGTTCCCATCCTTTGCAATTTAAATAGAAAATAAAAGGAGAACTGTGTGGGCAAGTGCCTGCTCTTCAGAGTAGCTTACAAATTCTAGAAACCATCAAGATAGAACTACTCAAAGTTTACTCTCATAATAAATTGACTTTAAGACCAAGAATCACAGTTAAAATAACTTCCCTGGAAATTTCTTCATTTTGTAGCAGTTTTCCTAAAGTTTTCTGCTTTCTTAATCCTGATTAATATGATTACTGTTCTTATATTACCAAAGGTGGCCATTGTAAAAATATTCAAACAGATTATTTTGTTGTCTAATGTTCTGTGTCACACTGCCTTAACTTTGCTTACAATAGTAATAATTTGCATACCCTCAATTCATAATCTCTGTACCCTAAGGCAGTATTTTTTTAATTGTGGATCTTGAAGAAACTGGACCCATCCTCAAAAGAACACAGATACATGTAAAATTTTGCATAAAATTTAAGGATGCCATATTCAAAATATAATTTCTGGGCTCAGGGTTTAGCTTAATTGCCTAGCATGCATGAATCCCTGGGTTAAATCTTCAGCATCACACACCAAAAAAAAAAAAAAAAAAAAAAAAATCATTTTCAGGGAAATCTGAAAATATTACCCAAAAGAAGATATCACTTTAAGACTTATGTCCTACCTCATCTCACACTTTATTTTTTTTTTTTAATATTTGCAATGCTAAGACTAGAAACCATTAATGTGGCAAGGAAGAACTTGAATAAAAAACTAAGTCTGCAAATTATTGAAGAAGCTATTTCATAAAAGAAGCTCTTCTCAGAGTCAGAAATGCTATTGGAGACCAAAGTTATTTGTACTGCTAGAGTGATAATTTGAGAGTCATTAGTAATATTCTGTGTGATAATCTGCCATAATCAGTTTCAATTTGACTTCTAAGTAATGCCCCTCCTTTATCCATAAGCCATGGCCAATAAGTGTCCCTGCACCAAGGTTTATTAGAAACTGCCTATTTTTAGTTGTTTCCTACCATTCCCACTAGCTCCCCAGATTTCCTGGCACAATAGCCACCTTCCACTTGGCTTAGGAAGCCTTTGTAGCAGAACAGCACCCCCAACCTAATGATCTCAGACTGTGTGTGTGTGTGTTTAAAGTATCCATTTTTCTTTATAAGAAAGAGATCCTAAAATCCCCTGCCATTTTTAGCACTTCTTTGGGTAATAAAATATAGGTTTTGTTAAATAATCCCTCTTTAAAGCAAGAAACTTAATTGATTATTTCAGGTGTTACTGTCAAGAATAAGGTTTGACTTCCCCGACGCACAATGATGGAAAGGGAATCATTGTCCTTAACAGCTTCTATGACATCCGCTGTGGTTGTAACAGGTTGCCCATTTATGCTGACAATTATATCATGGTCTCTCAACCCCGAGCTGGGAAAAAGAAAGAAAGAAAGCGTGAAAATATGAGTTTTACTTGTCTCCATCTAGAATGTAATGTCTCTCTTACAGCAGTACAGTTTTGCTTACACTAAACATATAAACCAGGAAACTAGAAATAACTTAATCCTTCCAAATATGAAGGAACTTCTGTGACATGTCTTGCAAAATCACTTGGAAGACAACAATCCCATTTACCTTTAGAAAATTAATAGTCCATCAGAAACAGGGTAGTAAGTTTGCTACTCTCATATATCAAATTTGATTTGGAATGAAGAGTTTAGCTTTTAATTTCTATGCATTTCTTGACTTCTTTTCACCTCAAGCACATTCCTACTCTCACTAGCAAAAGTGCAAAGACCAGGCAACACAATTTTCACCACAGTTGTACTCCAATCAGTTCGATTTGAACAGCTCACAGTTTATGGAACTGGAGAGTATGCTGAGCTGCCTTATAGAAGTTCTGCTTCAGTAAATCAAAAGGCAGTCAAACTTCCAAGTCTAAATATTAAACTTTGGGGTCTAAGCTCCTTTTCCCCAAAGCTGTGATTGTATTCGGTTTCCAACATATATGCTTCGCACAGAATATATACTAGAAATAAAGAACAGCTCCCAATACAAAACTGCAGTAAATATGTAGCCAGGCTTGTGATCTGCCTTAAAGGTTAAAATAAACTGAAAGAGGGACATCAAATGACTCCTGAAGACATAACTAAGAGAATGGCGATTAAAGAATTAATGGGGAGCACAAGATAAAATGACAATGTAGAAAGATTACCAAAATATGTGAAACTTAAAAAGAAAATAGGAAGGGCTGGGGGCTGGGGATATAGGTCAGTGGTAAATTATGTGCTTAGGATCTGCATGGCCCTGGATTCAATTCCTAATACCAAAAAAAAAAAAAAAAAAAAAGAAGAAGAAGAAGAAGAAAAGAGGAAATTTAAAGCATGAGGATTTGAAGAAACGCTTTAAACCTTAAGAGCAAGAACAGTTTAGGGGAATAACTTGGGCCACGTGCACAAAAAAAGAGGAACTTAATTCATAAAAGTTCTGTGAGTGAGAAAAGAAGAAAGAAACCTGTGAGTTATTATAGTGTCTATTATGCACCAAATGTGAAGAACTAAGCTCAAAAACAGGATAAATGGCCTTCCCCATATCACACAACTTCTAAGAGTCTAAAGTAGGATTTGATCCTGGGTCTTTCAGACTTGAAAAAGCTATCTTCTTGCCACTACATCACTCAAGAAAGAGAATAGCAGCCACAAAAACAGTATAATAAAGGGGTTAAGCCAGAGTCCACCTCCCAGCTCTCTGACCTATTGTTTAACTGTTAATCAACATCTATGTACCACAGCTACTTACTTCCCTGTAAAATAATACCCATATCAAACAAGTATGTAAAAAACACTTTAAGCTGGGCACAATGGTATGCACCTATAGTCACAGCCATTCAGGAGGCTGATGTGGGAGGATCATCAGAACCCAGCAGTTTGAGTCAAGGCTGGGCAACATAGTGAGACTCTACTCCATCTCAAAATAAATAAATAAATATATAAATAAATAATATATACATATGCATACACAAAACACTTTAAATAAATATATGCGCACACAATATATATATGCACACACAAAACATACTAAAGTGAATGAGATGTAGTAAATGCTTCCTAAGTGCCAGCTGTTATTACTGTAACTATTATTATTATTATTATTATTAGGTATAAGTAGGGGAAAGCCAGAAAGGACGGATTCCATTTATCAGGGATTTCTAGCAGTAATTCTTACTTCTAACATACATACAAACCATCTAGGGATTAAAATGCAGGTTTAAAATGCAGATTCTGGCTGTAAAATAGTATGTTCTTGGCTTGCTAAAGACCCTAGATTTGATTTTCAGCAGGGAACCCGGGGTGGGAGGAGAAAGAAGGAAGAGGTGAAAGAGAGAAAATGCAGGAGGTTCAGTGGCTGGAGTGTGCAGCTGTGATTATTCCTTTCTTACTGGCTCCAGCTGATTCTAATTGCCACTGGTTTCAGACCATATTTTTTATTCTAATTTGTTGTATATGGCAGCAGAATGCATTGCAATTCATATTACACATATAGAACACAGTTTTTCATATCTCTGGTTATACACAAAGTATAGTCACACCATTCTATGTATTTAGGGTAATGATCAGACCACATTTGAGTAGCAACAACTTAGAAAGCTAAAAGGAGACTCTTTGGCCCTGGACTAGAAGTTTAAAATAAGGAAGTGAGAGCAGAGCAGGAATGAGGAAAGTCTATTAAGGCCTGTGACGAACCAGATTTAGTAACATATGACCTAGCATTTAGCCATGCTGAAGGTTAGTATGGATGAATTTTCCCCCTATAAAAGAGTTGATAGTCTAAACAAATATCTGAGCGCTTAAAAAATAAAAACAGGCTGGGGATGTTGCTCAAGCGGTAGCGCGCGCGCGCGGCTCTGGGTTCGATCCTCAGCACCACATAAAATAAAGGTGTTGTGTCCACCGAAAACTAAAAAATAAATATTAAAATAAATAAATAAATAAAAACAGTGAGGAAGAGGTAATGTAGACCTGCTAAACCAGGAGAATAATACTTGTAGGAAAAGCTACCTCTTTCCTAATATTAATAGTCCCACAATGAAACCAGCTGGAGAACCTTCTTTGGGTCACTGTTCTAACCCTTGATTTGAGATGCAGATTTCAGCACTGGCCTCTCATACTGCCATCTAGAGTCCAAACAAAAAGGTGTTTTTTTAAAAACCTACGATATGTACGAAGAACCTTTAACACTCTGGATTCTTCCCGTTCTTATCAACTGATAGTTAATTATTTAACTATTTAAACTATTTAATTACCATTAGTTGATTGTCACAAATACCTAATACTTATTAATTACTTAATACTATAAGAGTTCATTGTTATTAATTAATATTGATTTTTAAAATTTTTTTTAGTTGTGATTGGACACATACCTTCATTTTATTTATTTATTTTTATGTGGTGCTGAGGATGGAATCAGCGCTTTGCAATTACTAGGCAAGCACTCTACCACTGAACCACAACACCTGCCCATAAATATTGATTTTTTTTAAAGTTATTAGTATTTATTAATGTTAAAATTAATAAAAGAATTCAGAAAGGTAGCAAGTTAAAAAATAAATACATAAATGCCAATAGCTATACATTGCAGCAAGAAAACATAAACATGTGGAAAATAAATCCTTGTCATAATAACAACAAAAATTTAAAAAAAAAGCTTATATAGGCTTTAGTCTGTAGGTATACATAAAATGTATACATGTATATATGTGTGTCAATAGCTATATTACTATATATGAATGTATATGACTATAAATATAAATATATACACACACATATTATTATTATAAAGAATAATAAAGCAAGGGAAAATGTGGATTTTTCAATGATAGAAAAAAATTAGCTCCATACCTTATACAATACATAAATAATTCTAAAGAGATTAAATATAGAGAGCAAAAAACCCCACAAGTGTACACATATAAAAGAAAATATAGGTGGCTATTTAACTCATTATAGTATTAGAATTTCTAAACAAAAATACTTAAATATATTGGTGTACATATGTATAATATGTACGTGTGTATGTGCGAAATTACCAAAAAAGAAATACCTTTGACTAACAAAAATTTAAAGCATTTCTTCTTTTGAAACATTTCTAAATTTAAAAAAACACAATAAAATTACAAAGTAAATATCAAGCAATGTAGATATTTATAATCAATGTGAAGTAAGATATTAATATCCTTGTAATAATGGCAAAAGAAAAAATGGTCAAAGAACAAATATTGATTTTTTTAAAACTTTTTTTTAGTTGTAGATGGGCACAATATCTTTATTTTTATTTATTTATATTTATGTGGTGCTGAGGATCAAACCCAGTGCCTCCAGTCATGCTAGGCAGGCACTCTACCACTGAGCTACAACTCCAGCCCCGTAACTATTGACATTGAAAGAGTAGATTTGAGGGCCGGGAATGTAGCTCAGTGGTAGAATTCTTGCCTAGCACCGGGGAAAAAAAACAGAAGATTTGATTTGATAATTCCTAGCAAAATTAATTTAAACATAGGTCATTAACTCATAATAGCACTTTCCAATAGAAACATAATGCAAACCACATGTCATTTTATATTTTCTAGTAGCTACATTTAAAAAAAAAAAGGTTTAAGCAAATATAATTAATTTTAATGGTGTCTCCTATTTAACTCAATACACCTAAAAAATTATCATTTTAACATGTAATAAATACTTTTAAATTTTTGATAGGTATTCTACACACTGAGTTACAGGAAAATTTTTTAAATCCGCCCAAACAACACATGCTCAATATGCCATTATAGGATAATAATATCTTACAGAACATACTAAATAAAATGAAATACTGTCTTTCTAAAACATATATAATACACATGTGTGTGTGTGTGTGTGTGTGTATTACACTGCTTCTGGGATTTTTCACTTTTCATGTCAATTAAAATTAAATAAATTTTAAATTTAGTTCCTGATTCACAGTGGCCACATTTCAGATGTTCGACACACACCATGTGTAGGTTGTGGCCACAGTATTAGAGCAAGTCTAAAATCTCACATGCCTTTGCCATGGCACACATCTAAATATAACATGCAAGGGCTGAGGATATAGCTGTTGATAGAGTACTTGCCTTGCATGTACAAGTCCCTGGGTTCAATCCCTCAGCACCACCAAAAAAAAAAAAAAAAAAACCAAAGGCCTGCAATTTGCTTACCTTTCAGCAGCTGTTCCTTGAATTACTTCATACACAAAAACCCCAGAACTCACATCAGGGAAATCTGGATTTTGCCTTTTCATTTCTTGAAGAAAGCTAGAAGTGACAAGGTTAGCAAACAATGATATCATCTGCTGAGCCCTGATACAAACCTGGAACTCTTAGTAGGTACTCTGTCTGCTTAAGGTTCACAGGCACCCATGAGAATCCCTGCCAATCATGATCATTCTCCCCTGGGTGCTGTCCAATCCTCCATGCTAAAGCCTAGAATCACTGAGTATGATCTAATACAGCCCCAGGGAGAGAACAGTGAATGCTGATGCACGATGAGGCAGACACATACCCTATGACAAATAGACCCTCTGGTCACAGGAGTACACTCACTGAAGTCCAAATGTTTTCACTTTCCTAGTAAGACTTTCCAGCTATGGCTTTTGCCTCTGAGAAATAACCCAGATGTGGTCAAACTCATGCTTACTTCAGAGTGAGGGGCAGCATTCGCAGACCCAGATATTTCTTCTGCAAAGGAGCTTTTCCTAGAAAGGAAAATTGTAATGTGTGACTAACAAAACTTCTTTTCTTTTGGCAGAGCTTAAAGACACCCAAATCCCAGAATTTCTGCTATTATAGCTGCCCTTGCACACTGCCTGCTGTGAAATACATGCTTCAGAGAACGTTTCCCCTCCCCACCTCCAGCCCATGGGTTTCAATTCAAGTGCCTTTGGGTACACCTCACGCTTGGTTTTGTGCCTAGTCCCCCAATACGGCCACCCAACCCACCATTATAAGCTCTGAGAACTGATGATCCAGCATGTAGAACTCAAATGGCAATCTCCATTAGAGACTGAGTCAGTTCCTAAAAAACAAGAGGGAACAAAAAAGCCCAACTACCTTCACCTTTCAACTGGCGCTCGTGATAGTCTGCCAAGAACTGTCTGATTCGATCTGAGGGAATCGCAAAAGAGATTCCTGCAGTCACTTTCAGGGTGTTTATGCCAATCACATCACCATCCTGGCAAGGAAGGGAACATCATTCAGTCATGAAGCTTTGCAAACTGAACAGTGCAAAAATCAGGAAAGCGCATGTGTGTGGGGCGGGAGAAGTAGTCACTTAGGATCAAAAACAGAGTTGAGAGGAAATTTGCATGTCTTCAATAGAGAGTATGTTACTTTACATGGCAATTAGTGCAATAGGACAGGGAAGAGAGGGGAGGTGTACTGGGGTAAAAGTTACTGCTTCCTGATCAAAGTGTCAAAGCTGCTGATGACTTCTTTCTCTATTTATCTTGAGCTCATTTTTTTCTTCAGTAAATTACATTGATTCTTAAAAGTGAGCCACACTTTGGATTTTGACACAAGAGGACAAGGAATATTTTGCCTTTTTATTACTTAAGTGAAACTAAAAATAAACATGGAAAAAGACAAAAAGCTGTTGGATATTCAGAAACATTCAGAAGAATTAGCAAAACTGATCTTAGTGAACAAATGTCTGCTCAACCAAAGTTATGAAGTAGAAAATACTTTCAGGCTAGAGCTGCGGCTCAGTGGTAGTGCACTTGCCTGGCAAGTGTGAAGCACTGGGTTCGATTCTCAGCATCATGTATAAATAAATAAAGGTCAATCAACAACTAAAAAAAATATTTAAAAAAGAAAATATTTTCCTCTTGCTGGGCCCCATGGAACATGCATGTAAATCTGGCAGCTTGGGAGGTTGAGGCAGGAGGATTGCAAATTCAAGGCCAGCCTCAGCAACTTAGTGAAACCCTCATCAATTTAGTGAGACCCTGTCTCAGAATAAAAAGTAAAAATGACTAGGGATTTAGCTCAGTGGTAAAGCATCCTGGGTTTAATTCCCAGTACCAAAAAGAAATGAAAAGAAGAAACTACTTTCCTCTTCATTCACTTTCTCATCCTTTAGCCCTTGTTTGTAATGGCAAAGATAAAAAAGAGATTTTTGATTGTAGGAACATACAGATTATAATTCAATAGGTCTGGAGTATGGCCAGTGTATTTCATCCTTAGCCTAGTGAACTCTTTGTTTAATGGAGAAGGCAGGCCCCCAAAATTACAATGTTATAAGTAACCAGTGCCCAACCATTTCACATACAATTAATTTTTTTTAAAGCAAATGTAATATGTAAAGAATAAGCAAAAGCAATCAGTTCCAAGGGACTTAGAAAGCATGAGTCAAACTGCATTGTATTCAGTTATATTTTCACATGTACTTGAGCAATTAAAAACCCTGGCATTTCCACTAGAGACACTCCATAAAATTTAAGAAAGAAATTCATAACAGAACAATGGATTCTGGTTGGTACTTTTTTGTCATCAATAAGCAGGTCAAGACTAAACACCTGGACAGAGCACATTTTATAATTAGCATTTCTAGATGAGGAACAGCTCTTCATATGCACCAGGTGAGTCTTGAAGAATACACATTACATAGCACGGTTGATCCTTTGGTTTAAATCCAGGCTTTTTGGTAACTATCTAATGAAAACAGAAAGCATGTGGAAGAGGAAACCTTCAAAGTAAGCACAGCCAAAACCCTGGTGCTTGTGGTGGGATGAGATCACACACCAGGATGATAAATCCATCATAGATATTGAATGTTTTCCTAACCATTTACTTAAATCCAAGAATAGAAAAGCATTTTTCCACAACTCTCTACACAAGAGTAGCTCCCAAATTTGCATCATAGAATTTAGAAAGTTTTTGAAAGTTAGGAAGAAATATGAAGCAGCAAGAAAAATGGCCACTTACCAAGTTCACCAAAGGCCCCCCAGAGTTTCCATGCTAAAGACAGAAGTTGAAAAAACCATCAGTAAAGCCAATGAATATAGTTCTCCATGTCATTTATACATAGTTCCTAATGAAGCTTATCAGAAGCAGCCTGCTCTAGTGAGCTCCTGTTCTACCAAGGCAGGCAAAATCGTGTCACCTATCATCCCCAATACTGAAGTCAGTATAGGTGAAGACCAATAGCTAAAGGACCCCACACACTAGTAGTGATGGCCTTTATGTCCAGCCCTGAGAGACCATCTGATAGTATGAATGCTAATTATCACATCCAACAGGCTCAACTCTAACTACACAAGCATTCCATTCCTCTCCTAGGGTCTAACTGACCTCTTAGCATACCAAAAGGCCAAAGGGAAAAGAGGTTGCTCTGAAGTCTTCTCACTATATACTACCAGTGTCTTTTGCGCTGAGACTAGACTTCCTACGTGACTTACATTAATGATGGCATCAGTCTGTATGTAGTCCATGTCTGAGTCCTTCAGCCCCAGCTCTTTGCCCCCTCGCTGTGTAGTGCTGACAATCCCTGCAGTCACCGTGTTCTGTAGAGAAAATGGGCTGCCCAAGGCCACCACAAATTCTCCAGCCCGAAGGTCAGATGATCTTCCCAGCAGCAACACAGGGAGGTCAGTCTGCACATAGGTGAGGAAGGCCAAAGAGGACAGAAAGGGTAAAGAATAAATCCAAACCAGAATCAACCAATGTTTGCATATAGCACACCAATGACACCATCTCTGTCATTTTGGCCCTTATCTAAGAAGTACCCTCTCATACAAATTTTTTTGATTGCCTTCTTTCTCAAAGTCCAACAACCACCAAGCTCTTATTTGTTAAGATGATCAGGATCATCTCTAAGATTATTATTTCATAGAAATCACAATTAGTAAACCACCAGCGAAGCAACTGATGGACATGAACGGACATTAACAATGCACTTAGCACCGTTCCAGCTCAACTGTATACAGTGACTAAGCCACCAACAAGAAGGAGATCACCCAGAACAGCAATTCTCAAACTGTAATATGCACATGAAACACCTGGGGATCTTATCAAACGCATTTCTGGCCAGGCACAGGGACCCATGCCTGTAATCCTAGCTATCTGGGAGGCTAAGGCAAGAGGATTGCGAGTTGGATGTCAGCCTCAGCAATTTAGCAAGACCCTGTCTCAAAATTAATTTTTTTTTAAAGTTTAAATGTTCTCAGATGACATGTTGATGCTTTTAGGATATACACCACTCTTTGTGTAGCAAGGACCTCAAAGTCTGCCTTAGCAGCTTTGAGCCAATTGCAATAATTTCTGGTATCTTAAACAGAAAAATTATTTTCTCAGAATCAGCATCTGCTGAAGAAAAATCACAGGAGAGTGAGAGCTAATTAATATAGATTATCAGAGATGTATTGGAGCTGGAATTTGAGAAGAAGATTAACATTAAACAGGGATGAGAGGTGGGAGGGAAAGGGAGAGAGAAGGGAAATTGCATGGAAATGGAAGGAGACCCTCAGGGTTATACAAAATTAATATAAGGAAGTGAGGGGAAAGGGAAAAATAATACAAGGGGGAGAAATGAATGACAGTAGAGGGGGTAGAGAGAGAAGAGGGGAGGGGAGGGGGGATAGTAGAGGATAGGAAAGGCAGCAGAATACAACAGACACTAGTATGGCAACATGTAAATCAATGGATGTGTAACTGATATGATTCTGCAATCTGTATACGGGGTAAAAATGGGAGTTCATAACCCACTTGAATCAAAGTGTGAAATATGATATGTCAAGAACTATGTAATGTTTTGAACAACCAACAATAAAAAATTTTTTAAAAAAAGAGATGTACATACAGGTATGAAAGAAAATTTTTAAAAAGAGGGAGTGAAAAACAGGAAAAAAAGCATATACTAGATAAAAAAGAATGTAGTGTGGGAGCAAGGGGAACAATATATCAGCAAATAGAAGAAAATACGCAGACTCTGACTTGGCTTCTAAATACTTACATTTGGCTCAATCTTAATCAGTGCAAGATCCAACTTATGGTCAATGTCTTTGACAGTGGCTTCATACTGGACCCCACTTTGAAGCTCCACCTGGATCCGATGCTGGTTAGTGAGGACATGAGCATTGGTAACAATGAGCCCATCCTCAGACACTATGAACCCAGAGCCACTGGATGCAGGCATTTCCTTGCCGCTGAGAGGTGACCTGTCTCCATAAGACAACAATATAAGCTGAGGGCAGGAAGCTCAGGGACTCCAGCTGCCATCTGTGAATCATGGGAACCTGACATTCATTAAGCCTATCTCCATCTCCATTTCCTCAGACATTTTACTTTTCCCTGTCAGTTTTCATCTTCTCCACATGTAAATGAACTATATGTATCCTGCCCTGGCCATCTCTGGTGAACATGATTGAAAGCTGGTTCCCAACTCCCCTTTTTTCCGAGGCAATGCTCCCTTCTTCAGAGCTGGTCAGTGCAGCACTCTGTGAGTCCTCTCCAGCAAAGAAGCCAAACCTAATCCTAATATTGTGGGGATATATTGCCACAGATTCAAGAACTCAGGCAGGTAGGGAATCCAATGGTTCTGGTTCTGGCTTAGTTTTCACTACAAATTAGCCTTGTGGCATAAGATAAATCTTTTCCTCAGGCCAGGCATAGTGGCACATGCCTATAATCCCAGCAGCTTCAGAGGCTGAGGCAGGAGGATCACAAGTTCAAAACCAGCCTCAGCAACTTAGCAGGACCCTGTCTCCCCCGCCCATACTGGGGATTGAACCCAGTGGCACTTAACCACCGAGCCATATCCACAGCTCTTTTCTGAATTTTATTTAAAGACAGGGTCTTACTGACTTGCTTAGGGCCACGCTAAATGGCTGAAACTGGCTTTGCACCATGGCTGTCGGGACTCTGTCTTTCAATGAAATATTTTAAGTCTGGGGATATGGCTTGGTGCTTAAATGCTCCTGGGTTCAATCCCTGGTACAAAAAAAAAAAAATCTGCCCGCTGGATTTGGATTTCCTGGATTTAGATTTCCTTGCATGCAAGTGATGGGGTTGGGCAAGATCACCACCAAGATTCCTACTAGCTTCAAATTTTATCTTTGGGGCATGAGGGAAAAAGAAACCTCGGCACCTGAGTATGCAGAAATAGCTCAGATTTGGAGGCCAGAATCCTTTTGTCCTTGTGCCTCTGCTTCTCATCTCAATAGCTTTGAACAGATTTTTGTTGTTGTTATTGTTTTATTTTTGTTGTTGTTTGTTTGTTTTTGAGGTGCTGCAGATGGAACCCAGGGCTAAGCAAGCAAGCACTCTGCCACTGAGTTCCATCCCCTGAACCTCGGTTTCCTCACAGTGGTTTTTGTTTGTTTGTTTGTTTGGTTGGTTGGTTGAAGATTCAATGATGCTTGTAAAGGCCCTAGAGTAGGTAAGGCAGTGGGAAGCAGTATTGGGTAATCCTCCTGTGTCTTTTACCTGCGAAACAGCTGCAGGTGAACCACAGATGGCGCCACCTTCTCCACCACCTCGGCGATGAAGTTGTATTTGCTTCGGACCCTGCCTGCGCTTCTGGTCCCTGTGAAGAAATGCTCCGTGCTTGGGGCAGAGGGAGCCTGGCTCCCCTACAAAATCAGGTGTAATATCTCATTCATATCTTCCCATCCATTATCCTCCTCCCTTGTTCTCTTTCCGTCCCCTCCTTCTCCTCAGGCTTCCCACTCCGCCTGTGGACTGTGGCCCCATACACCAACACCTCAAGAGAGTCAGACCTGTCACACCAGTTGGAAAATAATCACAAAGGGAAGACCGTATTCAAAAGGCTAATGGGGAGAAACCGCGTGGTAACTGGTAAAGAGACTCCTATTAAGGAAGAAAGAAAATCAGAAACAAACCAAAAAAGTTGAATCCCTGGGGCAAATAAAACAGTGAGCCGCACGCGGACTGTGTGATTGAAACGAGGGAGTGAATAATTATGCTTAAATTCAAGGATTGGGGTATTCCTCAGTGGTAGAGCGCTTTCCTAGTACGCCCGAGGGTGCTACCCGCAGTCCCCCCAAGAAAACCGGGCGTTGGTGGGGCGGTAGCTGGGGCGGTGGCACACGACTCTTATCCCAGCTACTCCGAAGACTGAGGTGGGAGAATCGCTTGAGCCCAGGAGTTCGACAACAGCCAGGGCAACAGAGGAAGAAGAAAAAAGTTCAAAAAAAGTGTTCCGAGTCGGGACACTCCTGGGTTCAATCCCTGGTATAAAAAAAAAAAAAAAAAAAAAAATCTGCCCGCTGGATTTGGATTTGCTGGACAAATCCAAATTTGTCCTTGCGCTCACCTGGATCCCCGCAGTACCCTTTCTGCACCGGCACAGCTGGGAGCGCGCCACGGAGACGCGCGGCGCGGTTCTCCGCGCGGAGGGCGCACAGACTGGCATAGGTGCGCCCGTCGCTGCCGCACACCGCCGCCCCTGTCGCCGGGCAGCCGCAGGTGCCCAGCCAGGGGCCGCCGACGTACTCCTGGCTGAAGGGCGCGCCACATTTCAGCCCAGGGCCGCAGGGCAGGCCACGCGCCCCGCCGCAGGCTTCGCCCTCAGCGGCAGCACAGACGCGGCAGCAACGGCAGCGGTCGAGCACTGGTGTTGTCCCCGCGGAACAGGTGGGCAGCGGGGGACAGCGCGTCGGCTCGCAGGCCACGGGGCAGGGCAGCAAGGCTCTGGATCTCCTTGCCTCGACCCTGGCCACAGGTACCGGGGTCAACAGTAGCCACGGCAGAAGGAACTGTAAGAGCCCAGCTGGCTGCAGCAGAGGTCTACTCATCTTGCTTTCTTCTTCGCTTGCACTTTTCCAGTTACTTCACTCTGGACTCACAAGCTGGCCTAAGATGAACAACACTTTCCTGGCCAGGTTGCCAGCCGCCTCCACCAGCCTCCAGGCTTTAAGGAGCAGAGCCTGGCAGACCTCTCCATACACACACCCATACATCGCCCACCACCCGTCCCGCCCCAGGTTCAGGGTCACCCCCAAGCACTGCTGGCAGGTCCGTAGCCCTTTCCTGAGAAGAGATCTACACCATGAGCCCCGTTAAAGCAATACTGAGGGCAAACTGACAAGAGCCATCACCCACCCAAGGCGGGTATTAAGAAAACACAACCGTATTACAGTATTTCACATGGTTTTATTACAAAACAAGCAACAAAACAGTTTTAGAAAATTATTTTTGCTACATACCAATTAGGAGATCACATAAAATGAGAAGCATAACAGTTTCCATGCACTCAGCTCAGTGCTTGCAGTGAGTGCATTTCACAGCTGAAACAGTTTGGTTCAACATAACACAACATCATGCCACATCTTCATAAGCAGAGGGGGAAGGGGTCACATAATATGTTTTTGCCAAACAGTTGCTTCATTCAAACTCTACCTATCGCTGTGACTGTAATTGCTGCAGGCAATAACACAGGAAAAAAAGGACCAAGAGGAAAAAAGGATGTTGGTAGAAAATATTTAATAAACCTGCTCATTTCTGACATGTTTAAAGTTAATAAAGAAAGCTGACTTGAGAAATTAAATTTCCAAAATGCTATTAATGTGTCCATATACCTGTTTATCTGGTTAACACTGAAAACAAACTCATCATACCCCCCTGCTTACCTACTGAATCTGCTATTTATTTATGGGGTCATTTTAATACATATCAGAGCACATTTACATTCAGAGAGAAAAAAAACCCAACTTTTTCTTCCAGTAAACTAAGACTCTAGACCTTAAATCTACTCTTTCTCATAGGAGCTCAGCATTCTGCTCTGAAGTAGAAGTATAACTTCACTATTTTGACCTGAGGTCATTCTCCAAGGTGTACAACTCTGTGCCCCTACAATGTCTCACAGAAAGCAAAAGGGAAACTATTTTTACCAACTATCATCTCACCTTGAGTAAGGGAGTCCATCAAAGTTTTCAAGAATAATGGATGGTAAGCAGTTCAGCTATAGAGAAGACCACCTGAAATACTGTTACACATATGTGGGTCAGGACAACTTCAAAAGCCTCATGGAAAGAGCCAATTCAGGGGCTGGGGTTGTGGCTCAGCAGTAGAGTACTGGCCTCGCATGTGCAGGGTGCTGGGTTTGATCCTCAGCACCACATAAAAATAAAATAAAGGTATTGTGTCCAACCATAACTAAAACATAATATTAAAAAAAGAAAGAGTGAGCCAATTCAGATCAGGTTTCATTCCCCAAAGAAAAAGTTGTACCTTTTTTAGTTCCTTTTTTTAGATCTAGATTTATTCCAGAGCTTAAGCACTTAACCACTAACCCATATGGCATCCCCAACCCATTTTTTCTATTTGATTCAATTTCATACATTTAAAATTAAATGCTATGGTCATATATGCACTATCTTTGGCTCATATTAAAAGGCTCTGGTGTGAAACTGGCCAGAAGGTAAGAAATATGGACAAAGATGGAATTTTGAAATAAGATTTGGGAATGCAATGCTTTTAGGCTTTATGGAAGATATTTTTATTTTTCTGATATTGTTACTATGTTAATGATGTTCTAACTTGGAATTCCCAAGTATTCCTAAGTATATACCAATAAGAGTCCTTGTTTTCCCTTTATTAAGATAATACTAGCTGGATTATATTTAACACCCTTTCAAAACAGACTTTACTAAATGAGAATCCTATCAGCTTACTATAATGGTCAATTCCTTAAGCAGTAGTAACCTAGCAGAGATTTACAAAAAGAAAATGGGTATATTTTCACAATTCAAACACCAAGAGATGACATCATTTCCATGAGTCAGGGAATGTTTAAAGAGACTTAAAACATTAATTTATTTTCATTAGTTCCACATCACATTCTGTGCACTTGTATTTATTAGCCAAATAATTTTCTTGAGAAAAATATGAAGGTGAAACCAGAGACAAGGAACTTTAAAAATCTGGAATGGCTTCTTAAAATCAGGCTATTCGAAGTAGGTTGATCACTCATAAATAAATAATTCCCAAACCAAGAATTTCTGAGAAAAAAAGTACACAAGAGTTTATTTTTAAAAGAAGATGGGAAGAAAAGAGAAAGATCCAGTAGATTTCTCTTTTTAGATTAAGACCACAAGACTACACTTAAGTGAAGGACAGCTCCAACACAGTGAAATCAGAAAGAGTTCTCAATGTGAAACACATTTCAGAAAAACAGCACTACCTGGAAGAACATGATTCTTTTCAAAGCCACTAAAAATTTCTTCTTCAGGTGTTTTTGCTTCTGCATTAGATATGGACACAAGAAGGAACCGGGATTTATTCTTCCTCTTAGTCTCTTCCTCTAGTCACTATTTTTAATTAAAGTATAATTAACTGATCTAGCTGATGAAAGCTACTGATAGAAATAAGCCAAGTTCTCTATCCCTTTATGAAACCCTCCTAAGTTTCTGATAGCAATGCACTAAAAAAATTGGATAGGTAAATGTGCCCAAGGACACTAGAAATAGTATCTTGTCCAGTGAAAGAAAATATGCCCTCAAATTTGTTTGGGCAACTCCTGGGAAATCTCTAGTCAGTAATTTGTAACCTCTAAATCAATGCTTTTATGCCCCATTTTTATTCCACTAAAATATAATCTCAAGATTATCTTTGTATTTTTCCACATGGAACCTCATCAGATTACAGGGTCTGATCATGCAAGCACACACAACTCCATCCAAAGGGCAACAGAAAGGACAAAAAGAAAGCAAATCTGCCAAGGTATATAATAAACTGCACTTAAAATTAGACAAATATTGGCCCATCAAAAAGAGCTGTGAGGCAAGGATTCAAGGCAATATGTCTTTGCCAGAATAAAACTTTTCTCCTATCCAGAAAACATGGATCAAAAAACTTAGCAGGATGATCCATCTCTTCTCAGCACCTGCTTTTAACCTATCTAAAACTCTGAGATAGAGATTGATCTATCACACACATGAATTATCACACGCTTACCAACCCCACACATTCCAAGTAACACCATTATCAAGGGAAATGTCTTTTCTGTTCTCAACAGTCATAGTATTTAACACTGATACCGGTCCTTGGGGCCTGATAAAGAAACAATTCTAATGGGTCTGTTCCTCAATCTATAACATTTGGGGTCATAGCATCAAGAGAACAGAGTAATTTTCAAAACTGGCTCATGTAGTAGAGTTGACTTATTCCTCAGGCCTCAAAAAGATCCCCATCTCTTCTCCTGGGAGGTATCCTAGGGGACCCACCCTTGCAGACATATTCTAAAGGCCACCCTCCAGATTCTAAACACTACCTCTCAGAACGGCTCCCTGTCAAGCCAGAATCTGGGTTTTCCCCTACTCTGAAGCCTTTCAGCCTTTCAGCTGGGTTAGTTACCTGCTTCACAAACTTGAACCAATACATAGGTATGGACTAAAACCAGGTGACTGGCCTAAGAGCCTGTGCCCAGATTGAAAATAAAACAACAACAACAAAAAACTAAAACAAGGACAAGGAAGTACAATTTGGTCAGGGTGAAATGACTCCCAACCTCTTCAGAAGCGGAGATGCTAAAGATAGCCCATCACACAAAAGACCTTGGAATAGATCAACAAGAGGCAAGCCGCTCTCTCTTCACTGAGTATGCCTACAGATCTAACCTAGTGATTTCCCCCAAATTAAATATACTGCATTGATAATATAAAAAAAGGGAAAAAAAAGCCACTTGGCTGGGCCCCTCCCACACAGCTTCCACAGGAATATGAGTGCCATTAAGGGCTCTGACTGTCCTCCAACAAGGAGAGAAAATGAGCCACAGCCTCTTTCTCTCAAGTCCTCCCTCACTCCCCCACTTCCTCCCATGGCACTGTGCTTCATCACACATCAGAGGTCCGTATGTTTTCATCGTCAAGGTTGAACACAAAGGGTTTCTCCTTGGGGTGCTGGGGCTCTGATCTGTGCCTTATTCGGGAGCCTGACAACACCCCAGCAGTACTGCTCTCCCCAAGTCGAGGCATGAACAAAGAGTCCTCTGGAGTCTCTTCAGCTGGAAGCAGCTTTTCCCCAGCCTGGGGGACAGGTGTCCAGGGTTGCCAAGCAGAGGCCACAGAAGGGGCTTTGCAGAGGGTTTTCTTCTCTTCCACAGGTGGCCGCCCTCTGCAGAAGACAGAGTTAGGCCCCCCTGTGAAGCTGGAGCTTCCAGGTCGAGTCAAAGAAATGGATCTGGAAAAGGATATGTCCTGGAAACAAAAAAAGGCAAGAAAAAAACAAAGGACAGTAAGAGCTTTTCCTGACAATGTTTATCCCAAAGCCCCAAGAAAAAATATCCACCCAGGATCACCACCTCATAGGTCCAGAGACGCTTGTCCACAAAAATCAAATATGAGATATAAAATGATTGATTCATAATGGGGTAAGGGACGGGGAGCATGGGAGGAATAGACAAACTCTAGATAGGGCAGAGGGGAGGGAGGGGAAAGGAGGGGGCATGGGGTTAGAAATGATGGTGGAATGTGATGGACATTATTATCCAAAGTACATGTATGAAGACACGAATTAGTGTGAACATACTTTATATACAACCAGAGATACGAAAAATTGTGCTCTATATGTGTAATATGAATTGTAATGCATTCTGCTGCCGTTTATTTTTTAAAAATCAATAAAATAAAATACATTAAAAAAATCATATATGTGTGACAAAGCCAAGTACAATGGTTCATACTATGCGGGAGGCTAAAGCAGGAGAAACACTTGGACCTAGGAGTTCAAGGCCAGCCTGAGCCACATAGTAAGATCCTGCCTCAAAAAATAAAAAAGTTAAAAGGTTCACCAGAATTCACTCCACGTGTATCAGGGTCTGTGTAGCATCGAGACCTAAAGAAACTCTATGTTTCTGACCAACAGTACCTCATTTCTTCCAACAACCAAAAAGAAAAACAAAAACAAAAATTAGTAGAAAGAGAAAAACAAGTCAGTCTGTGGCTTCAGCTGTATCTAGGGCCTGGGCTGCTTGCCTACATCACCAAATAAAACACACCCGCTCAAGGAGAAGCTCTCCAAGTTGACATTGTGCAACAGAAAGGAAGTGACTTACTCTGGGGTGGCACTTGAGGGCCTGGACAGCTGTCCCAATCTCCTTAATCCAGCTGTGCATGTCTTCTGGACTATCCGCCTGCAAAATACCCACAGCACTTATGGACATTTCTGGACTGTGATTTCAGCTTTCAAGACTCTGACTCAAATTTGAGTTCATAAAATCACACCGTTAGAGCTGGAAAGGATCTTGGAAATCATCTAGTCCAGTGGCTTGCAGGCTTTGAGGGCATTTTTCCCTTGAAATATGTTATTTGACACCCAATAAATAAAATCCCTCAAAATAGAGTTGTTATAAAGTGGGGCAGGGGCCGGGGTTGGGGGAGCTTAGTGCAGTGTCCCCCTATTGGAAGTTCCTTGCTCTTCCTGGAAAAGAAGTGACCCAGTCTGCCCTCCTAGTTTTACAGAAAAGGAAAATGAGGCCCCAAAAGCCAAAGTTTAAGGTTTATAGCTGATCTAGATTTGAGTTCTTCTTACTCTCAACATAGTTATCTTTCCACTATAATGATCTCAACAGAATAATCCCACTTTCAATTCCATTAAAGTCAAATTCCTGTGCAAATCCAAAGTATATATAATTATATGTATGATCTCCAGAAATGGGGCTTTTATCAAGGCACACACTACCTGGGTCTGTCCTGAAAAATCCATCCAGGCTTCAAAAGTTGTGGATCTGGGAGATCTAAGTTTAAGAATATGCAGGACCATGCTGAGGAATCCAAGTATTTTCCCCAGAAATAACCTACTAACCCCAGAAGGGGGCAGCAGAGCCTCTGAAAAGAGGAAGAAAAATCAAGCAGTCTGGCCACTACAGGCAGAGCTTCTCAGCACTTCACAGCTTGAGAAGAGCTGAGTTCAAGTGAAATCTGCAGACATTTACCAAGGGCCCTACATAAGTGTTATATGCTCCAACAGATGCTAGCCACAGAGGTGAAAACTGGACTAAATCCCTGACCTCCAGAAAATGACATTTGTTAGGCTTCACCTGGCACCTTCTCTGAGAGTCCCACACAACACAAACATGTATTTGCATGCATGTGCAAAAGTTTGTACAAACATCACATTCCAATCCTCAAAGTTCTCCATGTCCTCGCCTTACTTCTTCCTTGCCCAAAATGATTCCTTTTATTTGCTTTCTATCAGGATAGAACATGACCAGGTTTGGTTTGGTTGATTGGCTTTTTAATCCTCAAATCTGCACTTACTCTTTCCTGTCACTTCAAAACAAACCCTCCTTAGTTGGACATGTGCAAAGACAGTGATCAAGGACACTAGGTCAAAAAGTGTGTAGCAACAAGGGCCCGAGGTGAACACCTCTCACATGTGCTATGCCTGCAAATGTGTTAGCACAACAACCCCCCGACTCTTTCCAGTTATTTGAAAACCTCGTAGTTTCCCAAGAAAAAGATAAATTCATCCTTAGAACAAAATGATAACCAGGATAACAAATCTCCAAACTTTTACTGATTAGAAATACCTTATTCTATAGGTAGAACTAGTGGAAGCTCAATTAGGTAAAGATGTTTGAGCCTGTTTGATACTCTGTAAGGCTATTAGGAATTTTATTATTAATATTAATATTATATGATACGTGAGAAGAAAATAATGCATTAAATTCTACTATTTGTTCACTGCTCTCTCTCCCTGAGACCTTTTCTCCTCAAACTGCATATAAATCATATTTCAAAAGATCAAATTGTCAGGATCAAATTATATAATATATATGGAAAGAAAAAAAGGTTATTCAGAATTTGAATGAGATGGAGGTAATTGTTCGTGAGGAGAAGAGCATTTACTAGGGCTTTTTCTTCTAGGGAAACAAATGATGATTTGGTACAGAGAATATTGGAAGACAAAGGAAAATATAAACAGGAGCTGAGGGAAAAACAAACGCCTCCCATACACAAAGGAGATTTGACGTTTTCATTTAACAGACTGGAACATTCCCATGAGGGCAATCCAATAAGCTACTCTTCCCACCATCCTAGTAAAATGTCCTCCACCATGTCCAATGCAGGACTGAGGTATGTAGCTCAGTGGGAGAGTACATGATTGAAATGTGCAAAGGCCCTGGTTCAATTCCCAGCACAAATATAATTTATATGTATATTATATATATAATGCAAAGAGAAAAGCAAGTATTTCAATTGAACCCATATAGAAAGAACATATATATTTTTTTAAATTTTACAATACTGGGGATTGAACCCAGGGGTGCTCTACAACTTAGTTATACCCCTGCCCCTTTTTATTTTATTTTGAGACATGGTCTCACTAAGTTGTCCAAGCTGTCCTCAAACTTATGATCCTCTTGCCTCAGCCACCAGAGTTGGAAGGATTACAGGTATGTGTGTGCACTGTGCCCAGTGGAGACAGACTGCTATTTTAGAAACTATATTAGCAGTCTCTATTAGTAGTTTTAACCATTATTTTTAAAATGTTATTTAAACATTATTTTAAAATACGATTTAGATAGAAGAGCAGATATTACAATTGATTCCATATTGGAAGAAAGAGAATATTATTTTATTGGGATCACATTAACAATCTCTATAGCTTTAAGAACTAGGGTCCATATTTGGGGCAAAAAAATTCAATGAAACATAAAATATTATATGCAAAAAATATGGTGTATGGCCAGGTGTGGTGGCACACACCCACAATCCCAATGACCTGGGAGGAGAAGGCAGGAGGATTGCAAGCTTGATGCCAGCCTTGACAATTTAGTGAAACTCCATACCAAAATTTTTTTAAAGGCTGGGGGGCTGGGGATATAACTCAGTGGAAGAGCATCCCTGGGTTCAATCCTAGTAGTGCACACAAACAAGAATTATGGAGTATGAAGATATCTACTTTTTATGGAAAGCCTCTACTTACTTTTCATCAAAATCTCAAAAAAAAAAAAAAAAATCTTAAAACCACATCACAAGGTAGCTTCATGAACCAGAGGTAAAAATTCGAGCTGAGGTCCACCTACCATGTAAATCACTAACAGACTAAAGAATGCTTAAAACTGGGTAGAACAAAAAGGGAAATGCCAAACTAACACCTTCTCCTCTTCCTGGAGTGCATTTGTGTGTGCATTTGTTTCTGGTGCTTGGTTCAAAAGTAGGGTTTCCACCTTTGACAACATTTTTGAGATGAGAGGGACAAAGAGTATTAAAATGAGTCATTCAGCCTGTGGTTTTCTTGAAGTCCAACTAACTTTTTACTGAGTGTCTACTATAATCCCAGCAGGATAACAGATGCATCAGTGGTTTGAAGTAATGAATTATGGAGGCCACCAGCAAAAGGTATCTAGTTTCTACCTCTGGTTATTGCCAATGCCCCATCCTAAATCTTTTGGCAGATCCTCCTTCCATTTCCAACTTCTGAAGGCTACCTGTCCCAACAGAGGACTACCTCTGCCCTCTTCTCAAGAACCTACCCAATCTTTAGACACAACCCCGTCACATATGACTGTGTTGACTGCACCTCTAAGTGATGTCACTCAGCTTGCAGTCTGCGTAAACAGTGAGGATCCAGAGAGTTTTAGGCCCAATATTTTGCAATTAATTTGTGAATCCCCTTATTGCTGCTCCTGTCCTGACACAGCACGCTGGGTTTATTGAGGGGTGGGAGGTGTATCATGTGTGTTGAACAGAGGAATAAACCCAGGGGCATTCTACCACTAGCTACATCCCCAGCACTTTTTATTTCTTTATTTTGGAATGGGGTCTGGCTAAATTGCCCAGGCTGGCCTTGAACTTATAATCCTCCTAACTGGGCCTCCAAAGTCGCTGGGATTACAGGTGTGTGCCACTGTGCCCAGCTCATAGCACTCTAGTTCTGACAAGTGGGTTCATGCCAAGTTATCAAGATCCGTTTGTACATTTCTCATTTTGAATAATGAGTCCTCCTCATAGTAAGCTGCCTAATACCCCAGGCCCTCGGTGACTGGGGAAATGGTGACCCCTGCTGGCCTTCCACCCCAAGAATTGAAATCTCATTTTGAAGCCCTGTCCAGAACTGAGAACTCCCTGCCTGCTGACAAGCTTCTCAAGCACCCACCTTTCCACCTGCTTTGATACCTGACTACTGCCGGAACCTGAATATTTGGTTACCATGACCCAACCCCAAGTTGGTTTTCCCTGATACAAAGTCAAACTTCTCTCGTTCCTGTAGCCACACCCTCTACATCTTGGGTTCTGGACCAACTGCTCTTACACAAATGAGCCAGTCTTGTTCTAGCCTCACAGTTGGTTCCTTGGTTTACTGGGTGTATGAACCCAGACAAATAATTTACTTTCAGAGACTCTGGGTTCTCATGTGAAATGGAGATAAGTTCAGGGATGGTGGAGAATTAAGTGGTACACTGCCTATAAGTTGCTTAGCACTGTGTCTGGAACATCAATAAACAATTGCTTCCCCCCCCCCCTTTTAATAGCAAAGACTATAACATGTGAGATCATAGAGTACACATAATACAAATTAAATAGTCAGAATCCATCCCAAGTCTTTCTTCTCTGTCCATAGAGTTGTTTTTTTCTGCCAAGGTCACTGTGCTCATGCAGATAGCTTTCCCAGATGCAGAAGACAGTTCTTTTTGGCAGATGTACTGAGCCTAACTTAGGAGGCAGGTCAGAAAGCCATTATGGCATGGAAGGTAAAACTTCTGGCACCTCAGCACCAAACTACTTTTACCCTTTGCACATGATTTTCACTTGGAACAAATAACTGACACATGAACTCAGTCTAATTTATTCACACTTAGAAATTTGGCAGTATTTTTTCTTCAAAAAATGAATAAAATGAGCCTATAACACTGAGGATAAATTATGGCAGTATTTTTTTTTTTTTGCCAATGGTAAATATTGAGCATTCCAAGCAAAAATTAGAATCTCAGAAGACTTGTCCCTATCTCCATGAGCTCAACAAATTTCCATACATAAAAACTTTGCTAGTAATATTAAAGATTGTGATTTTAAAATATTACATAATAAAATGAGTCAACATTTTGAAGATCTGTATACCTCAGTGAGACCAGTATTTTCCAAATGAGTAATGCAGGCTGGCATGGATAAAAAGTATCTATTCGAAGTGTAAAACTGACTAACAGATTCTAATGTAAGAATATAAAAGTTTATAGATATTACTTCAGATTCCACATTGTATCTAAACATTAAGAAATTACCATTTGTCAAGCTTTGGTATAGAATCAAAGAAGAATATTCAAGATTATCTAAAAAGGATATTTAAAAAACTCTTTTCCAGTACATATTTCTGTAAAGCCAGACTTTCATATTTCTTAATCAAAACAACATATGGCCACAGATAGAATGCAGAAGCAGATAATGAGAATCCTATTGTCATCTACTAAGCCAGCCATTGAAGAGATTTACAAAAATATAAAAACACTACTTCTTTTCTTGATAATTTTTAGAAAGCTATTTTTCATGATAACTTATATAATAAGTTAATATAATAGCTTATAGTGAGTTTATAGTTTCCACTTCTAAATGAACTAACAAATACTTTTAATGATTATTTTCATCTATATCTTCTCTTATTTTCCATTCTGAGTTTGGTGTTATAAACTAATTTGATCACTTACTCATAATTTGTTCAGGGTGGTGCCAGTATCCTTTTATCCTAGAAATGTGGGGAGTTGAAGGGAAAGGAGGACAGAAGTGATGAGCCTCTTTCAGGAATCGTGTATACACTCATGTAGATAATACAATGTCTTCTGAACATTTCTTGGTTGGGTTTTATGTTTCATAAATCAATATCTTCAGCCCAGGTTTCTTATAATCACTATCTTACAACCAGCACCATCATTCACTTGACAGATATTCAGTATCATCAATGTGTTAAGCATCAACTAGTCAATGGTCCTCATAACATGTCTCCTTGGAAGTCTCACAAGTACTGTAAATTCACAATCACCTATGCTTACCTTGCCCATCCCCTTAGTAGTTTTCCCCTTCTGTGTTATCATGAAAGTGACAGATACCATCAGCCACACTGATGCTCAAGCTAAACATCTGAGCATTATCCGGACCTCTCCCCTCTCTCCCTTCATCCAACCAAATCCTAGTCCTCCCTTGTCCTGTGTCCTCTGCACTGCACTGGGCCACACAATCTACAAACAGCATTTTACAGTTAAGGAAAACGAGGCTCTGAAAGTTAAATAATTTGCCCAGTCCACATGCCATATTTAAAGGCAAACCTGACCAAGGCAGTCCCTTCATTTAACTTCCCAGGCACTAACTCAGGATAAAGCACAAGCTGTCTACCAAGGCACCTAGCTGTCCAGCCCCCTCAGGTTCTTCACTGCTTCACCTCCAGGCTCTTGATCATAAGTGCTACTCTTTTGCCTGGACTATTCTTCCCCTGACCCAGCAAAGATGTATCTTCCTTCAGGAAACCTTCCCTAAGACTTGCAGAAAAGACCTTCTTACAAGTCCTAATGGCAGCAATCATGCCAATCATGCTATTTTCTGATTTGTATTCCCTCACTCCTTTCTGGGAGCTTGTTTCATATTTGGAATACATTTAAAATCTTTTGGCACATTTGGCATTTCATGCAGTGATCATCTGACCTCCTAATTTTTTTCTTCAACTTGAATATATTAAGGTTGACTCTTTGTGCCGTAAAGTTCTAGGCCACGCATTCAACATTATGGCATATAACAGTTGTACTACCCTGCAAACACATCTCAGCTTCACCTATCCAAACTCCCTCCCCTACCCCATCATTGGGTTTTAACTGCCTGTTAACTTGGCTAGAACTCTCTCTTAGGTTCAGGATTGGTTCTGTTTTAATGTGGTGACCCCAACCCAACATAAAATGCCTAGCTATCCTGAGCATACTCTACAAACTCCATGGAGTGCAAGGACTAGACGCTCCCTTGCTGCATCTACAGGCTCAACCTTGTCCCTACATGGCCATGGTGCCAGTGAATAAGTAGCTTTAATACTACAGTGACCCTTTCCCCAGTCCAGTTTGCTCCAAAGCCTCCCCTCATCTCTTCCTGGAAGGTACGTGCTTGTCTGAATGGGCACTGTCTGCTGATGATTCAGTCCACTATTATGTCTGCTGGGTACAGGCAGAGGAACACTGGAATCACAGGAGCCACTGCCCAAGAAACAGGAAAAGGGTCTGATCCCCTACAGAAAGGAGGGTGTTTAGTGGGGAGTAGATTAAGCCAGCACACTGTGCATCAGTTTTAATGTTAGAAATTCCTCATCAGCACAATACAGGAGATCAACATACTCTCTGCGGATCGCCAGGCAGGCTGGGCTAGGGACTTGGCACTGAATGTCTAGGCCCTGCTTGGAAATCTGCCTTGCTAGCTCCTATGACTTTAGAAGAGGTTGGGACAACTCCAAAGTCATGGGTGGAGGGGAGAAGCTTCTGATAAGTGAACTGTCAGAATCCAAACAATGGCTTTCTCTGTGCAGCTGGGCTCTGCACCTGGTGCCCGCACAGGGCCCTCTGTGCTTCTGTCATTCGCACACAGTGATGTCCATACACAGACAGGACTTATAAATACCCTCCAAAGCAGAAGTGAAATCCCTGACCAGTTCTCCTTTTCTCTGCTCAGTTGGAGCCCAGCAGCTGAGAGCAGTTGGTAGAAACTCTTGTTCTCCAGTACAGTGGCTCAACCTGCTTTATTATTTTATGGTTGGGAAGCTTCAGGCAAACATCCTGTTTAGAATAAAATGGGACTCAAGACTATTAGGGGCTAAATTTACAACATGGAAACCTCAAGCAAAAGAAAAGAGAAAGCAAATGAAAGGGCGAGGTCTACAAATACACTGTAAACAGAAAAGGAATGCTAGTCTTCTCTGGGTGAGCACTTTACCTGTATGTAGAAGGTCCGGGAGCTTGTTATTATTTCAAACAGGTTGTCCCTCATTAAGAGATCACTAGACAGATAAAGAGAAAGGAAGTTACTGGGCATACTGGCATATATTCTAAGCTTCACTGATACTAAGTCTAGGCACCAGTATCCACTACCATGGAAAATAAAAGATGAGGACTGGGGATGTGGCTCAAGCGGTATCGCGCTCGCCTGGCATGCGTGCGGCCTGGGTTCGATCCTCAGCACCACATACAAAAAAACCCAAAAGATGTTGTGTCCACCAAAAACTAAAAAATAAATATTAAAAAATTTTCTCTCTCTCTCTCTCACTCTCTCTTTAAAAAAAATAATAAATAAAAAAGTAAAAGATGGGCAGGTGTGTCCAGGCCATTCCTCCTTTAGCCACTGCCTCAAAAACACTCTGGGGATTCCCTCCAGCCTCACCTCTTCGAAGGTCTCAGGAATTCTTTGCTATTCTGATGGACCCCCACCACCACCACCACCAGTTCCAACAAGATTAAAGCTTCTTTCCTTCCAAAACCTCCTGTTTAATATCCACCACACCCCCCACCTCCTACAGTTTTATTTTCTTCAATCCATCCCTTCTCCCTCCCTCCTTCTTATGCAGTGCTAAGGATCAAATCCAGTGTCTCACACATGCTAGGCAAGTGCTCTGCCACTGAGTTAACAGCTACCGCCCTATGTTATGCAATCTTCACAACCATCCCGTAAGGCATCTAAAGATTTTCCATACTTTATAGATGAAGAAAGCCAGGCTTGGAGAGTTTAAATGATATATATGTGGATGGTGCCAGAGAACTGGACCCAGGTCTGATTCCAGAGTCTAGGCTTTTAAATATTCCAATGCCATTTGCTTCTATTAAGGATCAAATTCTCCACTTCTACAGCCTTCCTCCCCCTGAGCAGCAACCTTATCCTCAATTCCTGCTTTCTGTCCTGGGCCCAGAAGACAAGAACTAAAGAGAAAAAAATGAAGATGAGAGTAGACCACTTTAATATCTGCTTCAAAGTACATATGGGTTTTCTGACTTCTGCAAAAAAGAGAATAAGAAATAACAGATGCTCAGGGACAAACCTCAAATTGGCCAAAATCATTTACAATATTAAATGCCTGCTGCAGGAAATATAATTCCTACCCAATAAAAGAACCTAAGAGAGCAAGACTACACAATCAGACGTTAGTAAATTTTGTGTTACACACAAAGAATCAGACTCATTCCTAGAAAGGACTGGTCATGAGCAGGTGTGGACTTCTGAATGCAGACTTGGAAGGAACTGGCAGGAGGTTGGCCAGTGACAATAGGTACTGCATAAAAAAGGATTGACACCACTGGTCAGAAAGAACTGGGGTCAAATTCCACTGCTTGTGGTGATGCACATCTATAATCCCAGCAACTCAGGAGGCTAAGACAGGAGTTCACAAGCTCAAGGCCAACCTCGGTAAGTGAGCAAGATCCTGTCTCAAAATAAAATATAAAAAGGGCTGGGAATCTTGCTCACTGGTAAAGCACCCAATACTGGCAGATGAGGTCTTTTCTTACAATGGTCTGCAGATGCCACTGTGGGCAGTGCCGAAAATGCCACACATTCAGCTGATGCCGGTGGGCGGGGGATCTGACTCTATTCAAGAAAAAAGATATTTGTAACCAAGTGTTTAATAGAAATGAGAAGATATCCCTTACTGAGCTGGTCACTGAAAAGATACAGAAGGCATCTAGTATAAAGCATAGCACTTGACATAGTGTTTCTGAATAGAGATGGCTCTTTGGTGGCTAAAATGATTTAACCTTTTAGACTATTAATGCATATGCAATGCAATCACAAAATCGAATACAGAGAGGAAAGGAAAGCACCCCCTTCACATCTCCTTCCCAGCTGCATATTCCCTTTCAATTCTACGTACATTGACTATCCAGATGTCCTGAATTCTCCTAACTGGATTCTAGAGAAGCCACGCCATCTACCAGACCTGGAAGCTGCAGGTCCCTTCCCAGCTGGCTTCAACTCCCCAACTTCTTTTACTCAAGAGCTTAGTGAAATTCTGTCAGAATAAGAGTTAGGGAAAACTTAAGGATCTTAGGATGGAACCCTACCTTGGTTCTCTAAGCTACCTCAACATGTAGGTGATCTCTCACCTGCACAAGCCTTTCAGGTCAGCAACCATGAAGGATCTCCCAGGATCTAATCATGCCCTATTCTTCTTCTGCCCACTGCCTCCCTCTGGAGCTACACATCTGGAACTTCCGTCTTCAGCTTCTTTCATAAATTATAAATTGTCACTGGGAACCTCCCCAATCCTCTAAACTCTGCAACTGCCACTTGCAAGACCCAGTCCAATGTTTCTTCCCCAGCCTCCTTGGGTCCCACAGCATGATATTTTCATGTAATATTGTCTCATGCCTTCATGGGAGAATAGGCTGCCTGCTGCTAATAGTCTCTGTGATGATGTATGTGAGCTCTGCATGCACAGTCTACAGAACACAGGACAACAAACACAAGGGTTCTAAGACTGCACACTGATGGCCAAAAAAGAGGATTTCTACACGCCAGATGCCCTTGGGGGTCTGTACAGTATAGTTCTGGGGATATCTGTATTTGGGGTTAAATGCGGGATATTCCCTTGTCAAGTCCCAAACTCATGCTATGTACCACAGCACTTCGAAGGCAACCATTTCCTAAGTAAAGAGGAACATATTAAAAACACTTTTTTAGGGGCTGGGGTTATGGCTCAGCAGTAGAGCACTCGCCTTGCACATGCAAGGCCCTGGGTTTGATCCTCAGCACCACATAAAAATAAATAAAGTTATTGTGTACAAAAAAAAAAAAAACACCACTTGTTTAGGAAAAAACAACAACACTTGTTCACGACTGGGGGTATAGCTCAGTGGCAGAGAGCTTGCCTGCCTGGCATGCACAACTGCCCCAGGTTTCATCTCCAGCATCAAAAAAAGAAGAAAAAGAAAAAAAATCACAACAAAAACAGGCTCATCCTGCCCAATGATAGTAACCTGGAAATGTTATGAATCACCCTGTGTTAATGGGACATCAAGGTCTAAAGGAGAAGAGGCCAAAGAAATTTAGGCTTGAAGCACTGGCATCAGCAGTGATCTGACCAGCACTGCAGTTAGTCATGTAAAGGCAAAGTTCTCCTCTTAGCCTCGTCCTCCTGGAGGAAAAGCATCTAGCACCTGAGAAGCTTCTGAGCCCCACTCCCTTTCCCTTTCTCATTACCATATTTTTTCTTTTCCTCCAAGAGAAATTATTTTAGAGTCTCCTCTCCTAAGGAACTATTACCTAATGGGAAAAGGTAAGTTTGCTCAGTGTGATCTCATCCCTGTAACAGCTTGGATACAGTGAGTCAGCCACAAGATATGAGGGTCCTTACCTTACCTTGCTCTTGGAAGGAATTTTTTGTTGCTCTTGGTTTTTGTTTATTTTCTTGTGGGTTTTTTGTGTTTTCTTGGTGCTGGGGATTGAACCCAAAGCCTTGTACATACTAAGCCCACCCTCTCCCACTGAGCTACACCCCTGTCCCCAGAAGACGACTCTGAAAGAGAGCCTCAGAAGGGTACAAAATGAAGATTTAAGAAAGCAAATGGAGGTTCTGATCAGAAAAGAGTAAGCAGAAGTTGGGCACTGTGGCGCAAGTCTGTAATCGCAGCAGCTCAGGAAGCTGAGGGAGGAGGATGGCAAGTTCAAAGACAGCCTCAGCATCTTAGCAAAGCCCTATGCAACTCAGTGAGATCCTGTCTTTAAATAAATGTACAAAAGAGCCGAGGATGTGGCTTAGTGGTTAAGTGACCCTGGGTTCAATCCTGGTACCAAAAAAAAAAAAAAAAAAAAGAAAAGAAAAAATAAGCCAAGATAATTACCCAGATTTGACCAGACACTCATGGGTCTTGAGAACATCTTTGAGATATATAGTGCGCAGTGGTTCTCGGTCCTGGTTGAAAAAGGGAAAGATAATGACTGAGGTTGTTCCCACAACCCAATGGCCCAGATCAGCTAACAAATGCCCCTCTCTCCGAGATGGTTGGCTAACCCCAGTATGACCAACAACCTAGTCTCAGAACAATCACTAAGAGAAAAAAAAAAAAAATCTAAGCTATTCTGTGGCTCCACCCAGCAGCTTACTGCACTGAAGACAGAAGGACATTAAGGTCACTTTAATATCATGGTAAATATGGGCAATAAGATGGATGGTCATAAGACAGAGGTACCTTTGGAGTCTGTATGTGCCCATGTCTCCACTCCTTCACACTTTCCTACGGGTGTGTATTCATGTACCTCTTCATTTCTATGACCTCTCAGAAAGGCCCCCCAAAGCTACTACCAACCTGCTCACACTTGAAGTAGCAGATGGTGAAGTCATCCAGGGCAAAGAAGCGACGTTTCCAGCTCTTCCGCTGAAATGAAAAAGAGCCAGATATTGGGAAGCTGTCCCCAGCATTGCAGAGGGTGTTCTAATGCAAAACTCCCAGGGTCACAGCTCCGTGGAAGCCAGGCTACCACACTGAACAGGAGCAAAGGCTTCCTTTCGGAAGCAATATGTGACACATCGGGCCAACAGTTGGTCCCCAAAGCACACAGGCTTGGACAGCAGCTAGCACAGAGGACTGTAGCTCCTCCTCTCATTCTCCTCTCCCCTCTGTTACATCCACACCCACTAGCTCCAAGGAGTCACCAGAACCCTGATGGGCACCTGTGCTGGCACTCACCACATTCCCTTGCTTCACACAGTAGCCACTCTTAATGAGGGGAGGCCCAGTAGAAGCACGGCAGCCTGACGTGGGGATGTAACTCTGAGACCTTCGAAGGATGGCATGGGACCCTGGCTCACTCCCTTCCTGTCCATCCCCGCCATTCTACAAGGAAACAGTGTCAGGGTTAGCACCTCCCTGGCTCTTCTATGCAGTCACAGCCCCCTCTCCCTCCCTCGGTTTGGATCTCTTATCTCTTTTATGTTAGTTAAAGAATAAACAAACATTGACTTTGCACTGGATAAGACATTCTATTGGGTACTGTCATACAGTAAGACTCAGGGATGTTGGACAGACCCAGATGAAAGAGAAGAATAGAAAATGCAAACCAGAAAAAGGCATATATACCAGAATGGGAGGAGGGACAGCAGCCTTATTTGCTATCCTACAAGTTATCTCCTGAGTCTTGTACAGTCACAACTTTGAGATGCACTGGCCTTGATTTCTGCACCACCATTACTCACAACCACCCTGCACTGTATTCTTCTGATCACCTTTCTGCGCTAGCTCCCCTACTCCCATCTATCTTTTTCTTGGCACATTCCTCGATGCACATGATTGGCACATCACGGATACTTCCATATCCTTGCCACCCTCAGCAGCCCAAGCCAAGCCCCAGCACCTGGCTGATGGGTGTGTGTACCACCACCCCTCCGATGATCTCGGTCTTGTAGGCCACCTGTGGCTTCTTGTCTAGGGCTGCAGGAGTTGTTAGGCTTTTGAGAACTTCAGTAGCCAGGGGAAGGCTCCCACCTTTGGGTACCTGGGAAGAAAGACAGTGAGGTCAGTGGGGAACAGAAGGCTTAGAAAAAGTGGGGAGCCAAGAGCAAGATAGGGTGGGAAGAAAAGCCAATGTACCAAATTATATTTAAGACTCCTATTTCCTCCACAGTCCTTCCATTGATCCATATCTCAACATGAGTTCAGCCAGCAACCCCTCCACACCTATTACACTCTTGCTCGACAAATTTACGGAACACCTATTCTACAAGCCAGCCCTTCCACAGCTGCAAACAAGAGATTAAACATCAAACAAAACAGACATGAGTCCCTGCCCTTCTGGAACCAAAAACTAATAAGTGAGACTGACCCAAAACTGGGTAGAAAAACATTCAGAGTATCTACAAATGATGGTGCCTGCCATAAAGAAAGTAAGTGAGAGCTGAGGCAAAGTGCTACAGGGAAACTACAGGAAATGGAGCAGTTGGGAGAGGTCTCCACAGAACAGCTGTTGGATCTGCAACCTGGAGGGCAAAAAAGGAAAAAGGAATGTAAAGATGGGAGGGAGCCAGCTCATCAGGTAGAACAGCTAAGAATGCACGTGGGAAGGCTGTGGTGTAGCAGCAACAGAGCACTCGCTGAGCATCTGCTCAGCCCTGAGTTCCACCCCTAGTGCCACGTGTGTATGCACAAATGCACACCCACAAATGCACATGCCCAGGTTGAGCATCCCTACTCTGAATATCCCACACCTGACTTCATGTGATGACTTGCAGCCAAAAATACAGGTACATTCACAACTCAAAGTGGATCAGGAACTGAGGCATTAGATCAGAGACTCTGCACCCACTAGAAGAAAAAGCAGGCCCAATTCTCCATCATGTCAGCTTAGGAATCGACTTCCTCAACAAGACTCCTAAAGTCCTGAAAGTAAAATCAAGAATCAATAAATAGGATGGCATTAAACTTCTGCAGAACAAAGGAAATCATCAAGAATGTGAAGAGAGCACCTACAGAATGGGAGAAAATCTTTCCACACGCACCTCAGATAGAGCACTAATCTCCAGGATACATAAAAAACTCAAAAAACTTAACACCAAAAAAAACCCCACAAATAACCAAATCAATAAATGGGCCAAGGAACTGAACAGGCACGTCACAGAAGAAATACAAAGGGTCAACAAATAAATGTAAAAATGTTTAACACTGCTAGCAGTTAGTGAAATGAAAATTAAAACTACCTAAGATTTCATCTCACTCCAGTCAGAATGATAATTATCAAAAATACAAGTAAAAATAGGGTGGGCACCATAGCGCATGCCTGTAATCCCAGTGGCTGGGAAGACTGAGGCAGGAAGATCATGAGTTCAAAGCCAGCCTCAGAAAAAGTGAAGCAAGACAGTGAGATCCTGTCTGTAAATAAAATACAAAATATGGCTGGGGCTGGGGCTCAGTGGTTGAGTACCCGTGAGTTCAATCCCTAGTACAAAAAAAAGGAAAAGAAAAATGCAAGTAAAAATAAACGTTGGCAAAGATGTGAGGAAAAAGGTACACTCATACATTGATGGAGGGACTGCAAATTGGTGCAACTTCTCTGGAAAGCAGTTTGGAGATTTCTTAGCAAACTTGGAATGGAACCACCATTTGACCCAGTTATCCCACTTCTTGATATATACCCTAAGGACTTAAAATCATCATACTATAGTGATGCAGCTACATCAATGTTTATAGCAGCTCAATTCATAATAGCTAAGCTATGGAACCAACCTAGGTGTCCTTGAACAGATGAATGGATAAAGAAAATGTGGTATATATACACCCTGGAATATTATTCAGCCAAAATTATAACAACAAAATTACGGCATTTGCTGGTAAATGGATAAAAATGGAGATTATCATGATAAATGAAATAAACCAATCCCAAAAAACCAAAGGCCCAATATTTTCTCTGATATGCAGATCCTGAATCACAATAGGAGGAGGTTTACTGGATTGGACAGGATGGATAAGGGGATGGGATGGAAATAGGAAAACAGTAGAATGAATCCATAACTTTCGTATGTTCATATATGAACACACAATCAGTGTAACTTCATATCATGTACGACCACAAAAATGGGAAGTTGTATTCCATGTATGTATGATATGTCAAAACACATTTTACTGTCATGTATAACTAAAAAGAACAAAAAATTTTTAAAAAATAGGTACACTAAAAACATAGTAAAAAATACCTTTAGGTAATGTGTATAATATATATATGAAACATTAATAAATTTTGTGTTTAAACTTGGGTTCCATCCCCAAGATTTTTCCATGTAATATTTCAAAATCTGAAAAATATCTAAGATCCAAAACACTTCTGGTACCAAGAGATTCAGATAAGGGGTAGCCAATCTGTATAAGGTATAAAATCAGGGATGCATGAGCTTTGAAGCCAGAAGGCCTGGAGTATAACTTTTGACCTGTCACCAACAATGTGAGTGACCTTCAGCAAATCACTGAACCTCTGTAGGCCTAAACCATCTGTTAGTTAACTTTCCATAAGGAAAAAGGTTTGTTTTGATTTAGAAGTTTCAGTCTGTGGTTGCTTGGACCCATTGCTTTGGGCCTGTGGAAACACAGTACATCATGGTGGATGCCTATGGTGGAGGAGACCTATTTACCTCATGGAAGCCAGGAAGTAAAGAGAGACAAGAAGGGGTCAGGATCTCAATATCGCCTTCAATGGCACACCCCCCAATAACCTAACTTCCTTCTACTAGGTCCCACCTTTTAAAGGTTCCACTACCTCCCCAAAGCACAATGGGATAAGGCACATAGGCCTCTGGAGGACATTCAAGATCTAAACTATAAAATCATCTCAATAAAATGGAAAGGGGAACAACATGATGTTAGAATAGTTGTTATAGTTCTCAAGTGGTACACACATTTAAATGCTCTAGAAACACAAATAAGAATATAAATGTATTATGAAAATTTTTAATTAATATTTCACAAATGGTGAAAAAAGTCCTTTTTGAAGAATGAGCTCTTTCTCCTCATCAGTTATAATAGTGTAATGGAGCAAATCGTAGAATTTTTATAATTAGCTAGAAACCATTGGCCAGAAGTTGCAAACTGGTGGGCCACAAGCAGACTCTACCCACAGAGTTTTGTTTGACTATACAGTGTATTTTTCAATGTACATTTAACATTTTCACGTTGAAAAAATTCCAGATTTTTCAGCTTAGCAGCAGTCCTCTTACGAGATGGGGAGTGCAGTCTTCACTCTGTCACGGTCCTGACCATTCTCTTCAGTATCCTCATTTCTACTGTCCTATTTTTTCATCCTTGTCCAATTCACTCACTTATCCTAGAGTCTGAAAAATGAAAACTCTTGACGAAATCTTTCCCTTTATAAGAGAGAAAGAGAGGCCCAACAGTCAAGTCATTTGCCTGAAGCCATGATTGAGAAGTGACTCCCAGCCAATTCACAGGAACACAACACCCTGTGTCTATCTCCCAGCCAAGGAGCTATGGATCTCAGGAGAGAAGCCCAAGTCCTCTGCCACCTCCTCTACAGCCTGTGAGTCAGAGAGACCTAAGCAGCCAGACATTTTCAAGAGCTCCAAGCTCAGAGCTACGGGAAAACTCTGCCCAGGACAGAGACCAAAGACCACACCATTTGGTGTCCACTGAGTGTGAAGTGTCAAGACCACTGTGATTTATGGTAGGTCCCAAGAAAGAAGATGAGACCTCTCTTCCTGGCCAATCCACTCTGTGTACACACATAGGATGACTTCTGCCACCATTTCTACAGATCATACCATAAATTCCACCTTCTCCTTTCCTTCTGACTGTCTGAGAAACAGAACAGTTACCACAGCTTTGGGACACCCCACCACCGCCCCGCCATGGCCCCATTAGTAGCCAGGCAGGCTACTAAGCTATTCACTGCATTATCTCTAATTCTTAGGCAGTCTTATCAAGTTGGTATGATTTTCTCCATTTTATACATGAGGTAAATTGAAGCTCATTAAAGCTGAGTAACTTGCCCTGTGGATGCTTACTCCCCTTTGCTAAATATCACTACCAACTCGAGGGGTACTTTTTAATTTTCTGTTAGTCTTGTCACTGTGGGATCAAATTTTTTTAGGGATATTAATTTTTGCTGGGGTATTTAGTGATATCATCACCATGGAACAGCAGTAATTTCCCCAAATCATTCAAATGAATTCCTGGAACCTGGAAAAGAAGGAACTATTTAGTTGCTGAAGACAGAAAAAGACAAAGACACTCAGCTGCTGCGTTTCTGAGAATCTTGTCAGCACACATGGGCCATGGGGTTGTCACTACTATGTCTCTGTATCTTGGGCTGCTTCTGACTAACCATGTAGAGGCTTTAAGGAAGTTTTACATCCTGAGACTTGAAAGTCAGCCTGTGGAAAAGAATCTCAATCACAACTGAGCAATACAGCTTGAAAACAAGGCTGTTCTTTTGGGTATCCATATTCCAGAGGCCTAATTAACAGTGTGCCTCTTCCACCCGTCTGCGGAGTATCCTCGGATGAGAGATCCATGTGCGTCTTACCTACCTACAATGTGAAATAAAATTCACAAGGACTCCTTTTTCTTCCTGTCTGGTGTGGCTATAATACTATGAGGAATAACCCGCTTTCAGGGAAAAAGTTGTGCTTCATTTAATTTGCAAATTTTGGGGGAAATGTAGTGAGCTGAATAAAACTGTGCACCCATAACCTCAGAATGTGATCTTATTTGAAAACAGTGTTTTTGAAGATGTAATCTGTTAAATTAAGATGAGGTCATACTGTTTTAGGTTGGGCCCTAAGTCCAACTGGAGACACCTATATAGGTGTTATAAGAAGAGAGGACACCTGTGTCCTCACATAGGGAAGAAGGCAGAGGTAGACATGGAGTGATGCAGCTAAAAGCCAAGGAGTGTGGAGGATCTCTGGAAGCCACCAGAAGCAGGAAGGCCAAGAAAAAGTCTCCCCTAGAGCAGTCAGAGGGGACTGCAGCCCTGCCAACACCTTGATTTCAGACATTAGCCTCCAGAACTGTCAGAGAATACATTTCCCTGGCTTTAAGCCACCTAGTTTGTTACAGCAGCCCTATAAAATGAATACAGGAAGGCTAATATTCTGAGAGAATCCGATTCTTTAAATACCATATGCTGAACATGTCTTCAATCATAGGGACTCAACGACCACAGCATAAAATGAACAGTAATCTGCGGGTAGAAAAACTGGATCCATCCTGGCTCCATGACCTTGGGCAAGTACTTTAATCTCTAGGTATTTCCATTTCCTCACTTATAAATAGGGATAATAACACTTGCCCTTCTTACTTAAGGTTTTTATGAGGCTAAAATGAAGCCATATGCAAAAGTGGTTTGTAATCTGACGTATTTTACTACTGATGCTTATTTGTAATAATTTTATAAACTATAAACTCCCAGGTCTTGGAAGTCAGGGAACCTGGGTTAGAATTCCAACTCTACCAGTTGCTAACCTCCTGACCTCAGGCAAGACTCCAACCTCCATGTTCCTCATTTTTAAAATGGCAGTAAAACCACCCATCTCACAAGACTGCCGTGAAGGATGAATGAGTGGGAGCCCCGCTCACTACATTATCTGTTTAGTCCTTCCTATCTGTGTCCCCCAAAGTGTCTGGTGCCTCACTTTGCACATATGGTGTCTTAAAATAAATATGCATTTCATCACGTGGTATCAGAGCTCCACATCTGCCCAACTCATTCCAACTCCATATGGAAGGACAGATGCTACAAAAAAGAGGAAAAAGGAGTAGATCCTCTCAGGATACAAAAAGATTTAGGAGGTCCTTCCATTCCACAGAACCTTTGGCAGGAGAAGCGAAGAGACAAGACACATGATTGCTCCTTGGGATCCAAGGGAGATTTGTGCCAGGATCCCCCTAGGATACCAAAATCTGCAGATGCTCATGTCCCTTATATAAATCGGTGCAGTATATGCATAGAACCTATGCATATCTTCCCATATACATTAAACCAACCATAGATGACTTATTAATAATACCTTCATATAATATAAATGGTATGTAAATAGTTGTTTTACTATAATGATTAGGGAATAATGATAGGGAAAAAAGTCTGCATATGTTCAATACAGATGCAGATTTTAAAAATATTTCTGATCTATGGTTGGTTAAAGAATATACAGATATAGAAGGTCCACTATATAACTAAGCAAAGGAAAACAAGGAGATCCTGGGGACTGTGAAGACTGAAGGGGGCTCTGACATTCCAGCACGCCTTTGATCTTCTGTCCTCTGGGCTCCACCAGGCTCCCTCCCACTCCTGCATCCTGTCACTTATGCTCTGTGAGGCCAGAGAAGAGGCAGGAGACACTGGATGATTTCAGCAACTCTATGTTCAAGGCACAAAAGAAAGACAAATAGCTGAAGGAGGAGAAGGTATAAACATGTATTTTTCACACATGAGGCCCAGGGTTTAACCTAGCCATTTTTTTTTTTTTTAAAGAAGGTTAGAGTAGAGCATGTGCTTAGCATGTGTGAAACCCTAATTTCAAACCCCAGCATGAGGGTGGGGGCGCACTCACACTGGTGGGAAGAGGAATAGGGGGAAGGAAAGAAAAGCAAATCAAAGAGGCTCTTTGCTGTGGACTGTCCAGATCTGTTTACTAGCAAGAATGGAGGCGGGAACCTAGGAAGAAACTCAGAACAACAGTCAAGTATTAGCATTGAGAGAAACCTCAAATTCTGGAAGATTTTGAGGAAGACCTCCTCACCAACATGAATGAAGAAAACATTTACTATAATCAGTACTCCAGACCCACATACATAAGCACACGGCTAGCCCACATGAGCGTGTGCGTTAGCAACTGACTCCGTGCCCCCTCCTTGCCTTACTCTCTCTTCTCATGGGTTTTCCAAGGTTTACCAGAATAAGAACTAACCAGCTAAACTACTTAAATAACTCAATTTTACTCTGGTTGGGTCTATCAACAAAAATGCTACATAGATGTACAGATTTCATCTATTAATTTATTCACTGGAACCGTGAGTATCTGGGATAACATTTGCCCTGGCACATAGTTATTATTATTGGAAGTCATTCATGTAAATGTTTCCGATTATATAATAGAGAAATTCAAACTTTTCAGCAAACAAGCCTTGTTTGGGAAGTCAAGAATCTGCCTTGTCTGTCTTAAAGGTTTCTTTTTTCCCCCAAACATAGGTTTTTGCCATGGCTGGATAAGTGTCCCCAAAGATCTATGTATTGAAGGTCTGGCTGCTAGACAACCATGCTGCTGGGAACTGGAGGTGGGGTCTGGTGGGAGGAAGTTAAGTCACTGGGGGCATATTTCTGAAATGTATAATAACACTCCAGCCCCTTCCTGTCTCTCTCTTTGCTTCTCAGCTTCCATGACGTAAACAGGCCTCCTTCACCACATACTCCCACCATGATGCCCTGTGCCAACAGGGGCTCAAAGCAACAAGGCCAAGCCTACTATCAACTAAAATCTCTGAAATCATGATCCAAAATTAACCTTTCCTCCTTATAAGCTATTTTGACATACTAATGGAAAGCTGATTGTAATAATATTCCTTCTCTCAAATTCTCACTCCTCCTATTCTCTTTCTGTGTTTGTAAGGAAAAGAAATAATTCATTAGCCAAGTCAAGGAAAGAATAATTCTTCATTAGACACGTCAAAGAAAAGGAGAGTATTCATAATAGTCCATGAACTCGTTTCGTGAGACTTTTAAATGGAAGACTGTTCCAGGACAGACTGGTAAATAGCCCGGCCTGATCCTCCAGGTGGCCTCATAAATAAGAAGAGTATCCCCCAAGTCAGAATAGAAGTTCTGACTTCCCTTCTCAGTATACTTTCCCCCTTACTCTACTTGTCGGAGTCAGCAATCCATTTTCCAACCCTACCACATTCTGAATCAGCATTCCAGAATTACCCAGAACATGACTGACCAGGAGCCCTCCCAGAAAGCACAAAGGGGACCCTCCATAAACTTCCCCTTGAACTTGATTCAAACTCAAACTCTTGGGTCAAATTGTGGTTTGTGAGCCAAGGGGCAGGAGAATGTTGAAGCAGGAGAAAATTGAGCTCCTGGGAAAGTCCCTGCTGCCGTCTGAGTTTTCCCCCACCCCAACAGGCTACAACTGAGAAGGGGCACTTTTACTACAAAAAGGAGAAGCAATCATACGTACAGTGATCTTGCTGGCTTGGTTCAGGGCTTCAACCCAGTCCTTCAGGTCTTTCTGGTCATTGGCTTGAAGAAAATACCTCTGAGACAGGGCATTGATGACTGTAAAAGTCACAGGTAAGGAGAGAGAAATTTCCAGGTCAGACTACATGGCACACAAGAAGTCTCCACAAACCTAAGGTGTTTGAGGTGACAAGATGGATGAAGTCCACACAGCAGATCAAGAAATTCCCTGTGATGTTAAGTCACTTGTATGGATATTCAGGAAGCAGCAGGTGACAACTGCTGTCTCTCCCATCTTTAAAAATAAGGACTATTTCATTGGCCAAAGAATGGCATGTGACAACATGAGCAGCAGCCTTGATGTGCTATTCTGTTGTGATGAGGCTGCTGGTCTGCCAACAAGAAGACACCCCCCTGAACAACTTTACACCAGTGCTAAGAGACTGACAGTCACATGATACACACAGAATTATGGACCCAGTGCTTTGCTTCCACAGGCCTGGACTGAGAGTCCTGCCTGTGGCTGGGAAGTGGAACACAACTTGCCAGAGAACTAATCTGTTTCTGGGCTCATTTTATATATATGTATGTATGTATGTATATATATATATATATATGTATGTATGTGTATATATATATATATATATATATATATATATATATATATTTAGTTCTGCTGACCACAAAACCTAAGAGTCATTTTTGAGTTTAGTAATAATATTTGAAAGATATGGGAGAGTAAGTGCACCAAAGGAACTTGAACCAACTGGAAGCTGGGAGAGAGAATGACTTGAGGGACAATTTCACTCTCTCAACATCAGCCTGTATTATAGGAAAAAATCTTCATGAAGTAAACAGAATTCATTCATTCATTAAAAAAAAAAATTTTGTTGAGCACCCACGAAGCACCAGGAATCGTTCTAAGTGCTGAGGCCACTGCAGTGACACAGTAAGAAACACCTCTGCCCCCTGAAGGTTACATTCAGATCTATCCTAGATACACAAATGATCTGTCAGCATTTGCTCATAGCATTGAGTACAGTTGTAAAAACTCAGCGGAGACTAAATAACAATTCAATGACAGATCCACCAAATTCACAATTTAATGATTTGAGTCATCCACTGAAAGGCTCTGCTTCATATGTCATCCCTGATACTGAGCCTCATTTGGCAACACTGAGACCATCAACAGAATTCTCCCTCCTCTCATCCCCCTTCTGGAGAGTCTCCACCTTTCTTGAGCACACAATTACTCTACTCTAAAACAAAGATTCCCATAAACTTGTGCTAGATATTTTGCACCCAAGTAAACAAAAAATGTTACTGGTCCTGGCATGTCTGTCCTTATGTTATTAGCAATCTTTGCAGCAAGACCAAAGACGGTGATATCACTTGACACCCAGGAACATCACCGAGATTTAAGTCACTCACATACATAGGGTATAGTTCACATGAGATCACAGGACTGTCTCTGTGCAAAAGAGGAAGTTCCTAGACAAGTGTTAAGAAACCCATCCCTGGCTCAGTACTTACCAAAGCAAAATGAAGTTTTTGGTTTCTGCTTTGGGGTAGCTATGCTCACCTACATTAAATAAAAAATAGAAGAAATGTGAATGTTGTTTCTAACAGGGTTGAAAATTGTTCACAGATTAAAACGAATACACTGTACATATGTATACATTTTAAGAAATAACCATTGAGAATCCTGCACTTATTACCTCCATTAAGAAACAGGCATTATCAGTCCTGTTTCTTAGAAGCCCTCTGTGTGCTCCTCCCTGATAGAATCCCCACATCTTTTTATCTGTGTTAATCTTTTTATCTGTGTTAGTCTGTTATCTGCTATTTTTTTATCTGTGTTAATTTTTGTCTTTGTAAAAACATGTTTAAAAGTCACTGGGACCTGACAAGATTGTTTTTAGCCCATAAGACAGGCCTGGTCCCATACACACCAGCAGGATTCCATTCCTCTTTCAACCACCAACTCCCCTTCTTAAATAGTCTCCAAAATGAAGGGGTTCTTACTGTAGATGCATAGATTTTAATCAGAGCACTCAGAAAGGGGAAGCAGCCTGACTCTCACTGCATTTGAACACACTGACCAATGGCCTTACTATCTACCCTGACCACGAAAATAAGTACTGTCCATGAACCCAGAGAGGGGCTGAGGAGTCAAGATCTTACTGAGGTATTTAAGGGGTGAGAATGAGAAAATGGAAGTATCTTTCTACCTCCTGTTGCTTTATTTCACTTAGCTTTCACAATCCTACCTCTTGCATGTACATTCCAGAGGATCTACATATGTAAACCCACATCACTCAAGTTCACACAACTCATATTCCATCATATGACCACATAGACAATCCTTGTTACTGGTTGAACCTCACTGGAGCGGGCCTCCACCACTATACCTGGAATCTCTAAAGAGGCAGTCACTTTCCCAGGAGACCTGTCCACATTCTGTCATTATCCTTCCAGGCATACTATTCCCTCAGTACCCTTCCAAACTCAGGCCAGTTTTCTGGCTCTCACCTGAGGGCTCCAGGGGCGATTCCTGCTTTAACAGATAGGGCAGGAAGGAGCTGAAGTCTTGAGTCAAAATTAAGGTTCATGAGTTATAACTGCTAAGGTCTAATAATGACTGACCCACCAGTCTCTAGGTTCTTGCTTTTGATCGTAAGTTTTTTCTTACAGACCTGCCCAAATTCCTTGACTAAAATTAATATTTTCTCAAATACTCAAATGGGAACTGTGACAGAACCATATAAAAGGTCAAAAGAAGGACAGGCAGTAAGTACAGCCTGGGCTTTGGATTTGAGACAGTGTCTCAAATCACAGATGTCTCAACTGTGTGACCTCCATTTCATATCATGTTCTCATAGGGCTGATGTGAGGATTCAATATGATAGTGCAGGTAAGGCACTTACCTATCCTGTCACACAGTACGTGCTCATTCAGGGAGGAACTATTTATAGTTTCTGATATCTCATTTCCTTTAAAAACCCACTGCTTATCACAACAGTGCTACACTTGAAACTATGGGCAAAATGCTGAAAGTCCATGAGCAAAACTGCATGGTGACCTGAAAAAAATACCTGGCTTCCAACATACAAAACAAAGGTGGTAATAAAATGCCTGTATAACACTATACCAACTCACTGATAAGTACTTAACTAAATACAAGAAGTCACCTTAAGTCAACTTCAAGTTTTCAATTAAGCATGCAGAATTTTTTCATTACATCTGAAAATAATTTGGAGCTGAAATTATCTTAGTTCACAAAAATCCTTGTACTTTTGCAAGACGACTGTCCAGAAATTAAAGCTGATTATAAATTATGTGTGTTACAGCCAAATCATGCCAAAGCAAAGTGCACTCTTTCTAATATTTTGTAGCTAAAATCTTGCATGTATATACACATTTTTTTTAATCATAAAGGAAAGAGGTTTATTTTGGCTCATGGTTTTAGAAGTGCAAGCTGAGGGGCCACAACTGGTGAAGGTCTTCTTGTTCATAAGAGTCCCAAGGTGGCACAGGGCATTACAAGGCAAGAGACAGGGAATGTGCATGTATGTGTATCCATACTATTTAATGAGGAAGTGGGTGTATTTTTGTATGTTTAATATGATGTGAGGTGGAAGCCACAGGGCCTAAGAAAAGTCTGAAAAACATGAAGACATAAACAAAGGAAAAGTCCATATATCCTGAGTTTAGACACAGACTACCCAAATCACTCACGTCTGTACAATTCACAGGTTAACACACAGGACACTGGCACCCTATAAACTCCCAGCCCTGGCCCCATTCTATCTTGTTTTCCTGAGTTTTGGTCAGAACCACAGTGGACAGAGTCACCCTGTTCGTGTGTCTTATACTGATTTGCAGGACTCATTTTCTTACTGTCACTCAGCACCCATGTTCCCACACATACTCTTGCCTATGATCTGCTTGTCTGCACTTCATTTCTATATAACCCTGACCATACAGAGCTGTCTTGGCCTTAGTGCCCACTTATCTCATCCAGCTTAAGAATGGCACTGAAGTCTGGCACCCAGAGACCCTCTCTGGTTTATTCAGAAAATGGCCTTTTCTCTGAGACGCTCATATTTATCATTGACTACAGAGCACCCTCGACTGACTTCACCCTGCCTGGATTACAAATGGTCTGTTTAAACAACTCAGTAGCAGCCTCCACTGTGAGAACACTACCCCTGTACTTAATGTGGGAAGTGAAGGACCCAAAGAGTGTGTGTGGCTTTTTGCTTGTTTTTCTATCCTTCTCCAATCTGCAGTCAGGGGGTACATGGGAGTGCACACATATACATTTATACTGTGCCACACAGGGTTTACAGAGCAAAGCAACTCATCCCTGAACTAATAGGATCGGATCTATTAGTTCAAGGGTGAACATTCTCAACATCCTGATCAACTTCCCAAGAAGTAAAGCTAGACTATAAATACTAGTCCCCTTCAAATCACAGAACAGCAAGAGGAAAAAATGAAACCCTATCTACCTGTTTCTGTGTGCCCCAGAAAGACCAAGAAAGGAGTTTCATTTAGTTTGGAAATATGGCTTTGACCCCTCTTGACATTCTGCCACCAGGAGGTGTGATCCCTTCCTGCCTGCCACTGCCTTTTGGTGATCATGCCAGGCTACTGTACTGACTTAGGACATGGGGAAGGAGGAGAGGACCTGCATGAAGCAGCGCAGCTGCAAGTAGGCAAGGACATCTGATAGTCTGGCTTCAAGTGAGGGCATCTAAGTGCAAACATCCTCCCACCTGAGGTGGCCACAGTTTAGTCCCTGCACTACTGAGGTTGACTGGCAGGTCCTATAAACACCCAACAATGAAAAGAGACCAGAGACATGTGGAGGGGAGTGGGCATGGGTCACCTACTAAGTGAAGCAGACAGGGCTGCTCCACAGCTCAAAAAAGACTCAGGAACTTGCTCTTATCAGATCAAACACAGACCAGAGGCGGTTAGCTCCACAGCAGCAGCAGGGCACTGCTAGAGCCCGCCCCACCCTGTCTGCCCTTGGCCGGAAGTGGAGCTGGGGCCCCTTTGGCAGGAGTAGCAACAGCCAAACCAGATCCTGGAGTGCTGCTTGGCTCTGCTCTGGGGCCTGGAATGATCTTATTGAAATGGCAATAAGAGCAAGAGAATAGGCAACTCCCTATATGGATAACCAGAGGGCTTTTAAGTTGGGGTCTATGGACCAGTCTTAGGCAAAGTCAGGGTTTGTACATACATAAATACATTTAACTGCGAAACGACTCTATACTTGGATCAAACTCTCAAAAGAACCCATGACCCACACCTGAACAAAAATAAAAAAATAGAAAAGTCAAGAATCAGCAGCGTCTTAAGGAAGCTCTCCCTGATAGGTAATAGAGACCAAGCCCTGACAAAATAGGACCAGACTAGGCGTGGGACAGTAGGGCTGGCTATGAAAAGATGGTTAGAATGGAAGAGAAGGGCCATAGAGCAAAGACGTAAAGTAGGTGGTACCAAAGACCAGTTTCAATTATTTTCTAGTTTGGCCAAAAACTGGCTCTGCTGCTGTGGGTCCCCTGGATGACATCATATCTGGCCCTTTCATCTCTGAATTGCCCCCTGAAGGACTACATGCCAGTCCCTATCTTCCCAACTCTAGCCTTCAGAAGACCCCTACAGAAACACCCCCATATACACAAGGCAAACCAGGCCTCTGACATTGTGGGCGTATGTTTTACTCTTGGAGGGATTACCTCAGGGTTAATGACAACCTGGAACACCAAACTGGATACCAACACCCAAGGCTAACTGTTTCTCTCAGAAAACCCCTGCTTTTTGGCATTGGGTCAGGCAGGAGTTAAAGGCTCTCAGTTCTCTGTAACCTGATCCAGTAGCAGCTGTGGGTTTGCAAAAGGCCCAAGCAGGCCTGCCTGTCTCAGGAAGGGCTAAAAGTCAGGTCATCCTTTCTAAATGAGGCAGCCTCCAAAGAAGAGAATACTAAAAAACCCTCGTCTGAATCTGAGCTGCATTTATAAATCATGATTCAGCAGGAGATTAAATTCACTCTCACAAAAAAAAAAAAAAAAGTTTTTCCAAACCCTCTTAAACAGAAGAGAGTTTCAGTTTTCATTTTTTACAAGGTTCTCTGCTTCCTCCCCTCTTAATTCTCCTTCTGGAGAAATGACCTAATGAGCTCACAGCAAGAGGAGGACAAGAGAGGGGAGGGAAGGCAGGTCTGGCATGGGGAGGCAGCCACATTTCTAACCACAAGGCAAGCACAAATTGCCCGCAGCTGTGCTAGCAAAGCTATACTTTTAAAGGCCCTTCCCCCTTCCCCTGGGGCCATTATCTCCTCCCTCTAATCCACTCAGAGCATCTTCTGGGTTTTCACTGAGCTGTATCTGCCAGACTCTGCCTGGCGGCTGCAGGCATAAAATCAGCCTGCCCCTTCAGCTAAAGATGGCTGCTCCTCCCTGAGCCTGGGGCACCTCCAGATTCCCTTCCGGAGCAACTGAGATGGAAGCTGACCACAAGGCATCCAAACATGTTACCAGAAGGAGTTGGTGGCCACTCAGCTCAGGGACTTCCCTTTCCATCTCAAGACCCTAAGGGTGGGAGAGTGTGGTCAAGGAAGCAGCAGCCCCCAGAAAGCCTGAAGTGAGGGGTGTGTATGGAGAGCAGAACTTCCGGAGCCTCGGAGCTGGCCGAGTGCCACCTGGCTCTTCTCAGTGTACAAAGAGTTCCTCTTTCTGGGGAGGCTGTAAGTCTCCCGCCCCCTGCCTTTTTATCATTGCTGCATCATGGGTCAGCAGTGGTGCCTGCCCTAGGGAGGGGCTGCTAAAAGCAGCTGAATTCAGCAGTTACACTGGGCATCTTAACCAGCCCCCATAGCCAGATCTCAGCCCAGAAGACGGGCTGCTCTTGCCCCTTTACGTAAACTGGACTACGGGACTTGGGGATGGCCTGTTAGCTGCCTGCCAGTTATATGGCTGTGTGTGCTCCTGGCACCTAGGAGTGCCTTCTCTGACATTGACCTTCCCTCCACAGGCATACTGTCCAGGTGATTGGTAAAATTTTAGTGAGGCCCCAGATCTTTCTTGCTTACTACTCTTTAACATACCCATTGAGAGAACCCTTTAAAATTACTGGACTTAGGGGTTTATGTTACTTTTTGTCCCAGTTAATTAAAAAAAAAAGTTTATCCTACTAATACCCCCCAGTTCAGCTACCACCTGCACACACCCCTTTTGGAGGAGGTGAGAGCATTATGGACCACTACCATATGGATCTAGAACATCCCTTGAAGATCCATAGCTTGAAGCTAGTGGGAGGTGATGAGGCTTTTAGGATGTAAAAGCCCATGAGGAAGTCTTTAAGTGATTTGAGGACATGCCCTTGAAGGGGATCGTGGGACCCCAAACTCTTTTCCTTTGCTCTGCCATATACTTTCATCTTGATGTGCCCCTCACCACACACCCCAAAGCAACAGGGCCAACAGACCATGGACTGAAAACTCTAAAACTGTGAAACAAAATAAACCTTTTCTCTTCAAAATGTGATGGTCTAGGGATTTTATCACAGTGATAGAAAGCTGGGACTGATGTGTCCAAGGAGGAAGAGGCTGTGGGCCTGCCTTCCAGGAACTTAGGAACCACCATCACACCCACCCATCAGGAGCAAATCTTCCATAGGCAATCTATGGGCAAAGGGGGCATTTTAATGCCTATGGAATGTCCCCAAATGATAAAGCCCCAAGGATATATAACACTTCCTCTTATTTAAATACCAAACCTCCTTAGAGAATATGAAATTCCCAGAGCTCCAGGTCAACATTACCTTCGAGATGTACGTCAGCTGCAAAGATCCAACAGCCCCTGCGCCAACTGCCAGATTCTGAAAGACACATGTTGTTCATTTTAAGAAGGAGCCATGTGAGGCAGCGAACCCAGCACCAAAAGATAACATCAAGAAGCCATTTCAGTTTGTCACTTTCTGGCCTCAAAACCTTGGGCAACTCTCCTAACATTTCTTCAGTTCCCTTTCCTTGCCTGTAAAACAAGGATATTAATTCCTGGATAATAATTCCATTATCATTTTTTCATCAGGAAACTCTCACCTCACTTATTATACTGAGTTATTCCAAGACAATGGTTAAAAGTCTGTTCTACCATTTGACTCTAAAGTTCTTTAACCACTCAGTCTCAGTTTTCCCTTATGTAAAAATAATGACTATAATACAAGTTATCTAAAATGCCTAGGACAAGAAACATTTGAATTTCAGATTTTTCTCAGGTTCTGGAATATTTGCACATACAATGAGAAATCCTGGGGATGGACCCGAGTCTAAACAGGAAATTTCATTTATGTTTCACATATACATTATACACGTAGTCTGAAGGTAATTTTATACTTTTTTTGGGGGGGTTACTAGGGATTGAACCCAGGGATACTTAACCACTGAGCCATATCCCTAGCCCTTTTTTATATTTGATTTAGAGACAGGGTCTTGCTGAGTTGCCTAGGGCCTCATTAAGTTGCTGAGGCTGGCTTTGAACTCACAATTCTCTTGCCTCCCAAGCCACTGGGATTATAGGCATGCCACCACTCCCGGCTATACAATGTTTTTAATTCACCTGCATTTTGACCACAAACCTATCACATGAGGTCAGGTGTGGGATTTTCCAGTTGTGGCATCATAATAGCATTGAAAAGTTTCATATTTCAAAACATTTTGGATTTTTGAATTTACAGATTGAGAATACTTCACCTGTAGTACTTATGTTAAAAGACAGTTGTAAGGGTAAGTTAATATATTTAAGAGTGCTGGGGTTGTGGCTCAGTGGTACAGAGCTTGCCTAGCACGTGCAAGGCCCTGGGTTCCATCCTCAGCACATTAAAATAAAGATATTGTGTCCAACTACAATTAAAAAATAATTTTTTTTTTTTAAAAAAGAGTGCTTGGAATTGTTCCTGTTACATAGAATATTCTTAACAAATGTTAGCTAGTATGGTTTTTTCAATGCTAACTGATCTGACTTTATTGACTTTGTCCTGTCTTGAGTATTTAAAAATCTTTCCATAATACATACAGAGCTTACAAACTCACACAATATAGAAATTAGCCTCCTTCACAGGACTGCTATGAGTAGCAAATGAAATGATCTCTGGACACTAAAAAACAATAATTACATATACTATTAAAACAGAAAGAAGCTCATAGGCACCATGTCTGGCAATACATTCCACCTTGGCATAACCTTATTGGCTTTCCAATTACTCCACTGTCAGGGATGAAGCAATATAAACACTGGGATTACAGGTTAATACCAAGGCATTGGCCAAGATATCATAGCTGTGGAGTTTCTAACATGTTATCTTGGAAAACCCACTCCTCCATGAACCTGAGAATCTAGAGCTCCCAATGACCTTGAAAACTGTTACCATTGGTCTCAAAGAAGCACTTTTGAAGTCCCCAATACCTGGGGTTATCTCAAAGCAATAAAAGAAGGTAAATCTTAGATCAAGGAAATTTATTAAATTTACCTAAGGATTAACAGCAAAATGACCTATCATTCCAGGAGACAGCTTTAAGAAATACCTAAGAGGACAATGAAGAGTCCTTCTAGCCCCAGTTATCTAACTTAACAAACATCTTTGAAGCAAATTCAATGTATAAAATTTCCTATCACAATAAAATAGATAGGGATAGCAACAAAAAAAGTATTCTGAGAATCCCAGAATCTTGTGCTGGGATTGTGGCTCAGAGGTAGAGCGCTTGCCTCGCATGTGTGGAGCACTGGGTTCAATCCTCAGCACCACATAAATAATAAAATGAAGGTATTGTGTCCATCTACAACTAAAAATAAAAAAATAAAAAAGAATCCCAGAGTCCTAGCCAGTTGTGGTGGCACATGTAATTTTAGCAGCTTGGGAGCTGAGGCAGGAGGATCTGGGAGTTCAAAGCCAGCCTCAGAAACAGCAAGGCCCTAAGCAACTCAGCAAGACCCTGTCTCTAAATAAAATATTTTTTTAAAAAAGGGCTGGAGATGTGGCTCAGTGGTTAAGTGGCCCTGTGTTCAATCCTGGTACTGGAAAAAAAAAAAAAAAAGAACCCTCAACCCTAGTAAAAGACCTAAAAAAGACCCTGTACTCCAACTCCTTCCTTTTGCAAATGAGGCAGTAAGTCTGAAAACTGCCTTTGAGGGACTAGGGGTAAGGCAATGGTAGAGTGCTTACCTAGCACGTGTGAGGTCCTAGGTTCAATCCCCAGCATTGCAAATTAAATAAGAGCTGCATCTGAGTAACCATATTAGCATTTAAAATGAGGGTGATCTGATTTGCACTTTCATTTACATATTTTTTTCTGTCTTCATAGTAACTGCCTTTTTTCTTTTTTAAGAAAACCTGGGTTAAGAGAAACAGTGTATATGTATGAATATGTAACAATAAATCCCATCAGTGTGTACAACTATAATGCATCAATAAAAATGTAGAAAAAATAAAATTGTAAAAATTGTTAATGGAGGGCTGGGGATGTGGCTCAAGCGGTAGCGCGCTCGCCTGGCATGCGTGCGGCCCAGGTTCGATCCTCAGTGTTATGTCCGCCAAAAACTAAAAAATAAATATTAAAATTCTCTCCCTCTCTCTCTAAAAAAAAAAAATGTTAATGGAAAAAAAAAGAGACAAGCCTATGGAACAATATCCTTTATGAACAGATGCAAAAAACCTCAATAAAATATTTGCAAACAGAATTCAACAACAAATTTAAAAAATCATACACTATGATTTGAGTTGGTGATAAAAGTATTTGAGGATAAAAGCTCTGAATAAATTAGTGTAATGGTTAATCTGAATTGTCAACTTGATTGGATGAAGAGATACTGATGATTAGGAGGCTTCTGGGTGTGTCAATGAGGGTATGTCTAGGAATGATTGGCATGTGGGATAGCAAACTGAAGCAGAGACAGACCCTCCCTCTGTGGGCAACACAGGTCCAATAAGATGGTGACTTGGATGGAATAAAAGTTGGAAGAACAAAGAAGCAGCAGCAAACACAAGCTCAATTCTTTTTGAATGGGTTCTTGATTGCTGCTGCCATCGCCTGAGGATATCAGACTCTTGCTTCTTCTTCCTTCCATAGCAGACTCTGCCAGTGATTCTCCAGGGAGTTTCCAGAAGCCTTTTGTCTTGGACTAGGGTAGCACCACTGATTTCTCTTGTTTTGAGGCTTCAGCATCTTGGACTGCACAGCTATTGTTTACTCCAGCTCTCCAGCCTGTAGACAGCCACTGTGGATTATCCAGCTTCTGGTCATGAAAGCCAATCTAATAAATCCCCTTTTTATAATCATACTTCCTGTTGATTCTGTTCCTCTAGAGAACCTTGTTCCTCTAGAGAACCCTGACTAATACAACTAGGTATAGAAGGATCATACCTCAACATAATAAAGGCTATACATGACAAATCCATAGCCAACATTGTACTGGATGCAGAAAAACTGAAAGCATTTCTTCTAAAATCTGAAACAAGTCAAGGGTGTCCACTCTCACCCTCTTATTCAATATAATACTTGAATTTTTTTTTGTACTGAGGATTGAACCCACACGTGCTTAACCACTGAGCCAAAATCCCCAGCCCTTTTTAATATTTTATTAAGAGACAGGGTCTCACTGAGTTGCTACGTGCCTCACTTAGTTGCTGAGGTTGGCTTTGAACTTGCAATCCTCAGCCACCCCAGTCACTGGGATTATAGCAATGTGCCACCACACTCAGCAATACTTAAAATTTTAACCAGTGCAATCAGATAAGAGAAAGAAATAAAAAGGAATAATAATAGAAAATGAGGAAGTCAAATTAATCCTTTTTACAGATAATCTTATTCTATGCCTAGAAAACAAATACTATACCAAAGACTCTTAGAACTAATCAACAAATTCAGGCAAGTAACAGGATAAAAATATCAACATATAAAAATCAGCATAAACTATAAACTGATAATGAAGTCACTAAGACATCAGGAAAACAATCTTGTTCACAATAGTCTCAAAAAATAAAATACCAAGGAATAAGCCTAATCAAGGAGGTGAAAGACCTCTACAATGAAAATTATAAAGCACTGGGAAAAGAAATTTTAGAAGACACAAGAAAATGGGAAAACCTCCCATGTTCATGAATTGGAAGAATCAATATTGTTAAAAGAGCCATACTGGGGCTAGGGCTGGGGCTCAGTGGTAGAGCGCTCGCCTAGCACATGGGAGGCACTGGGTTTGATCCTCAGCACCACATAAAAATAAATACATAAAATAAAGTTATTGTGTCCAACTACAACTAAAAAACATTTTTTAAAAAAGGGCCATACTACCAAAAGCAATCTACAGATTCAGTGTAATCCTCAGCAAAATACCAATGACATTTTTCACAGAACTAGGAAAAAAATTGTAAAATTCAGATGAAAGCACAAAAGACCCCAAATAGCCAAGGATGTCGTAAGTAAAAGTACAATGCTAGAGGCATCATAGTACTTGATTTCAAAATCCACTAGAGAGCCATAGTAACAAATACAACATGGTATTAACCTAAAACCAGACACGGAGACCAACAGAATAGAACAGGGGACCCAGAAATAAACTCAACACCTACAACCAAGTGATTCTTGACAAAAGTGCCAAAAAAAACATATGCTGGAGAAAAGTCAAACAATAAATGGTGCTGGGGAACTGTATGTCCACATGTAGAAGATTGAAAGTAGGCCCCTATCTCTCACCCCACACAAGTAACAATTCAAAATGGATCAAAGATCTTAATCCAAGACCTGAGACTTTGAAATTACTAGAGGAAAACACAGAAGAAGCACTTCAAGATATTGGCACAGGCAATAATTTCCTGAACAGGAC